TGCATATGCATTCCCTCCCTTCGACCTGGTGGGCAGGGTTCTACAGAAGTTCTGGGAGCATCACTGCTCCTTACTTCTGAGAGCCCCTCTGTGGCCTAGGCAAGCTTGGTTTCAGGAGCTCTTGTCGTTTCTGGTGGAGGAGCCCTTGGCTCTCCCCTCCAGACCGAGTCTCCTTCGCCAGCCTTGGCCCAGAACGACACACTCTTGACCAGAGATCCTCCACCTTCACGCGTTGAGGCTATCTCTGGAAGCCACGCCAAGGCAGGCTTTTCTCAAGAGTTGTCAGATTGCATTGAGCAATCAATCAGGGCTTCCTCTTCTGCCGTCTACCAGTCACGTTGGATGATCTTCTGTGATTGACAGGAGGTATCTTAGTAACTGTTAGTAATAGCAATATGTTCTCAAGTTTGTATCAGTGTTGGATAGCAAGAACTGTGATTGATTGTAGTATGTCATAAACTTGTTACAAAATTCAATAAAATTACATGATCTTGTTTTTTTTCTGTTAATTTCATTGCCTTTTTGTTTTCTGTGCATAGTCCTTAAGGTTGTAGGAATACAGAAACATACAGATGTAAAGTGAGCAGGTCGACGTGGCTTGACAGACTCCAGTACTAAGCTGACGAAGCAGGCTTCTTTTGCATTAGAGGTTTGAACGAGTGTATTTTCTTTTATATCACAGATAGCAGCTTTGCTTTAGCAACTGAATATATATACACATATATATATATAAATAGACATAGCCCTTCAAATTCAAAAGATTACATTATGTATAGGTGAGGTTTCCTTCGCTATCACGAAAGCTCAGTTCTTTTGGTGTACAGGAAATATAATAATACAAGTTATTAATATTTAATAATAACTTGGGTTATTTAAGGAACAACTATTTATTAATTTTGATTTCCAACGCGAGTTACCTCCCTTCATCTACTCGATAATGTTCAGCCCTCTTAGACCTTTTGTTTACACTGGAAACGACCATTCATTTCCGGTTTTGTCATGGTGAACAAGAGGAAAGAATCCAATTGCTGTAATATCCACGATTATCTGAAGTGTTTATCAACATCATCTACCGAACTTGTGTCAGGTGGACGGTAATATATTCTTGAAATGCCTCCCAAGAGAAGGAAGTCTAACAGCCCGTATGCACGGGCTGTCCGTAGAGGTGTAGCAGGAGGCTGACAGGATGTGGAGGAGATGCCAGAGCCGCCACAAGCTATTAGTGGGGATATGGCTAGTATGGACCATGGAACAGCTCCCATCGGAAGTGTGCCTTCAGGTATTGACACTGGTGCTATGCCATCCCCATTGTTAAGTGTTGGGGACACTGTGGGGGCACATGTTTCACAAGCAACCAGGGATAAGATATGGGGGTCTGAATATATTGATATGGGCATACTTCTGGAAACAAACCAGGAGTTACTCAACACTCAAACATTGACCCTTGTCGATGGAGCTTTTGTATTAAAAAATAAAGGGTCCAAGAAAAAAATTGAATCTATAGAAGCCTGGACAGATGCCTTTATCATTTATACGTCTATTTTACTCAGAGGCATGACAGGGGGCAGGAACTTCTAAAGTACATGTCTGTTGTCAGACTTGCAGCAAAATCTTTCAGGGGAATGGGTTGGAAATCTTACGATGAGGAGTTCCTGAGCGGTCTTGGGCTGTGGTAGAAGGGGAGTAATGGTTGACATGCCTGACAACAGGTATGTCTCGGTCTGGAGATTTACTAACTCAGAACAAAAACTCTGGGGCTAAAGGTGGTTGTTATGATTATAACTTCAAAGGGTTCTGTCAAAGGACAAATTGTGGTTATGTTCACAAATGTTTGCAGTGTGGAGGGGGCCACCCCAAAATATCTTGTTTTCGGGGTAACCAGGTTCATAGTAATATTAACAGCCAGAAAATGAACTCCACAAACATGGGGGTTAAGCAAGGTCAGAGTATGAACCAGGCACAGGGCCAGAGCAATTTTCGTCCCCAAGCTGCCTCTTACAACAGATATCACTACCACAGAGATATGGGTTCTAGGAAAAACACCGATCAACAAAACAGTGCTCAATAACTATTTACAGTTATTTCCAGACAGAAACACAGCACATGCTTTAAAAGAAGGTTTTGATGGTAGTTTTAAGCTTCATTACCATGGTCCAAGATACCCCAGGGAATCAAAAAATTTACTCTCTGCTCAACAAAATCAGGATATCCTAGTCTTAAAATTGCAGCTTGAGGTGGATGCAGGAAGGATGGTAGGCCCCTTTAAAAGCAAACCCATTTCAAACCTTAGGGTTTCCCCGGTAGGTTTAGTTCCCAAAAAGACGGGGTTGGAGGTTAATTCAGAACTTATCTTACCCAGAAGGTGATAGTGTAAATTATTTCATAGATGAGGCTTTGACATCAGTGCATTACACTTCATTTGATCAAGCTATGTCAATGGTTCAGAAGTTAGGAAGGGGGGCCTTGTTAGGAAAAAAGGACATAAAGTCTGCATTCCGTTTACTTCCTATTTTCCCAGGAGATTTTGACTTACTAGGAGTAAAAGTAGGTTAGGATTATTATGTTGACAAGTGCTTACCTATGGGTTGTAGCATTTCATGTGCAGCTTTTGAAAAATTTTCAACATTTTTGGAATGGATAGTACGTAGTAAGTGTAATAGTAAATCAATTGAGCATTACCTTGATGATTTTCTTTTTGGGGGGAGGGCAAATGATAATGCATGTATTGAAGCCATGAACATTTTCGACAGTTTATGCCAGGAATTAGACGTACCAGTTGCGGATGAAAAAACTGAGGGTCCAGTTACCTGTCTTGTGTTTCTAGGTTTAGAAATTGATACAGTGGAGCAAGTGGTTCGAATTCCAAAGGTTAAGGTTGAGGAAATAACTTTAGTCCTAAAAGAATTCCTTTACAAAACCAAAGTCCAGTTGAAGGATCTGCAGAGCTTGTTAGGTAAATTAGCCTTTTGTGTCAAGGCAATGCAATGTGCAAGAGCCTTTTCTAGGAGACTGTACAGACTTTTAGCCAGTGCTTCAAGACCAAACCATTTTATTCGTTTGACAAAGGGTGTTCAAGATGATATTAGGGTCTGGTTAGAATTCTTTCAGAACTTCAATGGTACGTTCCATTTCTTTGACCAAGATTGGGTTTCTAGCAATGACTTAGAACTGTTTACAGATAGTACGGGTAACCCATATTTAGGATGTGGAGCTATTTTTGGGAAGCACTGGTTTGTATTTAAGTGGCCCAATAGTTAGAAAGGTTCAGGAATGATGAAGACATCACATTTTTGGAATTGGTTCCTATTGTAATGGCAATATATGTATGGCAGAGCGAGTTTTATATAAAAAAGATTCTGCTCCATTGTGACAATCAGGCATTAGTCGAGATACTCAATAGTTCAACTTCTCATTCAGATTATGTGATGTCCTTTATTCGCCCTTTGATTCTACATTGCTTGAGAAGTAACATTCAAATTAGAGCTAGGCATGTAAGAGGTAAGGATAACTCAATTGCAGATGCATTGTCCCGTTTTCAGTGGAACAGATTCAGGGAACTGGCACCTCAAGCTGACCAGCATCCAGCAGTTATCCCCCAGGTATTCTGGAGCAGTTTCGGTGCAAGTTTGATGATTTAATTTCGGATTCAATCTCTTATAACACAGCCGAATCTTATCAATCTGGAATCAGGGCATATGAACTTTTTCTGTTAGAGAGCAAACTTTCAAGTATCTGGCCCCCTCCGTTGAGTCACATATTGAACTTTGTATTATACATGGCTGAAAAGGGGATGTCTCCTGCAACTGTAAATACTTATGTAGCTGGCATTAGTTTCTATGTGAAATGCCCGGGCCATTCAGGAGAGGATTTCTTGTCAAACTTCCTTGTAAAGAAAATGTTAGCAGGTATGAGAAGGCAAAGGAAATTTCGGGATCTAAGGGCTCCTATCACTTCCGACATTCTTTCAAAGATATTAAGGGCTTTACCTTCAGTTTGTAGTTCAACATATGAATCAAAAATGTTTTCTGCAGCCTTCTTAATAGCATTTTTTGGGTTTTTCAGAGTGGGAGAGCTAACTGTCACCAAAGGAGTCATGGTTCAGAGGATGGTATCCCTACAAGATATTGACATAGGCAAAACACTTGAGGTTAAGCTTCGCTATTCAAAAACTGACCAGGAGGGCTGTGGTTGTACAGTTTCTATCCCTCGTACTAAGGGGCAACATTGTCCAGTTCGAAGTCTTGAGCAATACATTTCAATACGTCATAGCAACCCTGGACCTCTCTTATGCCATTTTGATCACTCCCCCCTGTCCAGATATCAGTTTGCTGCTGTTTTGAGGAAAGTTTTGGTTTTCATAGGCTTAGATGAAGGCAAATATAAAACTCATTCTTTTAGGATTGGGGTTGCCACAGAGGCAGCAAAAAAGGGTGTTTCAGAACAGGAAATTAAGAGCCTGGGGCATTGGAGTTCAGATGTTTTTAAGCGCTATATTCGTATACCAGAGAAATGTCTATTAGAAACTGTAATTTAAGTCCAGTGTGAATTGGTGCTTAAGCAGTGGTGTTCTCCTTGCTTCTGTTGTCATTGTTCATGTGAATTTGCAGTTCAATTTATTTTTTGACACAGGCTAATTATAGCCTTAAGATTTCTGGGACCCCACGTCGCAGCATTTACATAGTGGGCTCTTCAATCGTCAAACGAGCCTGCTTTTATGCTGCAAGCAGGCCTGGCGGTCGTCACCTTGGTTTAGACCATAGAAAATGCTCAATATGGTGGCGAGGACAAGGTTGGATGAAATGGGATTCTGTTCTTTCCCAGGTTCAGGACATGGTCAACGTACAGGTAGAACCATCCATGCTTATTATACACTGTGGGGCAAATGATTTGATTGAAGTAGGGTCCCTCGATTTAAGAGAGCATATTTGTATGGAGCTACGGTACTTGGCGGATACACTATAAATAAGGTTCTTCTCTGATGATAAATAAAAAACATGGTATGTTTTTAAACTGTAAACAATACAACAGTATCTGCTTCAGTAAAATGTAAATCCCTCCAGCTTCAGATTTCAAACACAATGAGTCATTTGATTCAGGAGAAGGTCTCTTACAAAAAAATTGTCTGACTTTCAGCATCCTTGATAGATGTCCACAACATGTGACAGATATCCAACATATCAGACATCCAGAACATTTAGTAGATATCCAGAACATTTATCCAGCACACTTATCAGATATCCAACATACTTATCAGATATCCAACATACTTATCAGATATCCAACATACTTATCAGATACCTTGACTATTTATAAGATATCCAGCACACTTATCAGATATCCAGCACATTTATCTGATATCCAACACACTTATCAGATATCAAACATACTTATCAGATATCAAGAACATTTATCAGATATCCAGCACACTAATCAGATATCCAGAACATTTATCAGATATCCAGAACACTTATCAGATATCAAACACACTAATCAGATATCCAGAACATTTATCAGATATCCAGAACACTTATCAGATATCAAACACACTAATCAGATATCCAGAACATTTATAAGATATCCAGCACACTTATCAGATATCCAGAACATTTATCAGATATCAAGCACACTTATAAGATATCCAGAACATTTATCAGATATCCAGCACACTAATCAGATATCCAGAACATTTATCAGATATACAGAACACTTATCAGATATCCAGAACATTTATCAGATATCAAACACACTAATCAGATATCCAGAACATTTATCAGATATCCAGAACACTTATCAGATATCAAACACACTAATCAGATATCCAGAACATTTATCATATATCCAGCACACTTACCAGATATCCAGAACACTTATCAGATATCGAACACACTAATCAGATATCCAACACACTTATCAGATATCAAACATACTTATCAGATATCAAACATACTTATCATATATCCAGCACACTTACCAGATATCGAACACACTAATCAGATATCCAACACACTTATCAGATATCAAACATACTTATCAGATATCCAGAACATTTATCAGATATCCAGCACACTTATCAGATATCCAGTACATTTATCAGATATCAAGCACACGTATAAGATATCCAGCACACTTATCAGATATCCAACATACTTATCAGATATCCAGAACATTTATCAGATATCAAACACACTAATCAGATATCCAGAACATTTATCAGATATCCAGAACACTTATCAGATATCCAGCAGACTTATCATATATCCAGCACACTTACCAGATATCAAACACACTAATCAGATATCCAACACACTTATCAGATATCCAACACATTTATCAGATATCAAACATACTTATCAGATATCAAACATACTTATCAGATATCCAGAGCATTTATCAGATATCCAGCACACTTATCAGATATCCAGAACATTTATCAGATATCAAGCACACTTATAAGATATCCAGCACACTTATCAGATATCCAACATACTTATCAGATATCCAACATACTTATCAGATATCCAGAACATTTATCAGATATCCAGCACATTTATCAGCTATCCAGCACACTTATCAGATATCCAGCACAGCACATTTATCATATATACAGCACATTTATCAGATATTTAGAACACTGTTTACATTTCCATCACTTCAAATATTAGAGGTCCCTAAACCCTTGGTTCCAGGTCCTCGTTTTGGGGCACTGCTACATATTGGGCAACACTCCTGTGAAAAAATATGAAAAAAAAAAATCTTTAAAGCTCCTACATTGTCTCATATGAATTTACAATTTGGGACTACCCTAAAATCAGTCCCTTGGTCTTAACATTCATCTGACAATAAAGGCCTATATATGATATAAACGTGTACATAATATTTACATAGTACATAGTAGTTGTAGGAACAATATTGAATGATTAAAACAGTTCACAATATTTCACAGACAAAAATCCTCCTCATCCAAGGATAATAGTAAGAATACTTTATATTCCCTCCTCATCCCTTACTAGGTTTAGGGGTATAAAAGTGAGGATAATTTATACTCCTCACCCATGACTAGGTTTAGCGGTAAAACAGAATAATTTATACTCCTCACCCCTTACTAGGTTTAGGGGTATAACAGTGAGGATAATTTATACTCCTCACCCATGACTAGGTTTAGAAATTTTTGAAATTACTATAAACTAAGTATGTTGGGAGTATAATAATGATTTTTGACAAGGTTGGGGTGGCAGGTGAGATTACTTTCAACCCCAATCCCAATTTTACTAGGTTGAGGATAAATAGTAAGATTAGTATATACCCCCATCCCAATTTTACTAGGTTGAGGATAAATAGTAAGATTATTATATACCCCACCCCAATTTTACTAGGTTGAGGATAAATAGTAAGATTATTATATACCCCCATCCCACTTTTATGGATCAGGAGTTTTTGAGAAGAAATCAAATGTTAAATTTTTTATGGATGCACATTTTATCAGTCCCAAAATCAAACAGTCACAACTAGGGACCACGGAAAACTTACATATGAAATTTGAGAAAGTTCTATCCAGCAATTCTCAAGAAATAGCAATAACAAAAATTGTTAAAGGATGGACAACAGATGTAGAGCAGCTTGAACAGACCACCGTTTAATAGTAGATTAGAATCTTACCATAGAATGGGCTGGTAGGCAATCTTCATGGAAAACATGACGACAGAAAAACACCACTGCATTACTTGCGTAACGGAGATCTGAAACAATAGGTCAAATATGAAAATAATATATTAAAAATTTAGATGCGCAAACAGGAAATACATCAATATCAGTCGAGAGTAAAACCAATAACACAGTTTATTTGAAACAGAATAAAATAATTATAGAACAAAACAATAGGTCTACATGGTTTGTATCACTTACAAAGGCTCAATGACCTGTTTCATTGTATCACAAAGAATTTCTAAGAAGGGAAGATTTACCGTAAGCCATCATGTAGTGCTCTGTCCCTAGGTCCCATTTTAGGTCAGGTTAACCTTTTATACAAAACTTCGTCCACTTCAAGTCACGCCAAACAACTTGTGACTATGACAGAGGACACTTACCTGTGACTATGACAGAGGACACTTACCTGTGACTATGACAGAGGACACTTACCTGTGACTAAGACAGAGGACACTTACCTGTGACTAAGACAGAGGACACTTACCTGTGACTATGACAGCTTGCTGACATGTATGACACATCTGGCTACCTGTAGGTAATCAAAGTGAATAGTACAAAATCTGAAAAAATTTAAAGGCCCTCCTAACTATTCCTAATTAACCTCATTACCAGTACATTATGAAACTGTCTACATAACCTCCCCAATTATTCCTAATCACCCTCATATTCTTAATGCCCCTATCCATCTATTCTTAATGTCTCTACTAACCTATTCTTAATGTCCCTATCCACCTATTCTTAATGTCCCTATCCATCTTTTCTTAATGCCCCTATCCACCTTTTCTTAATGCCACTATCCACCTATTCGTAATGCCCTATCCACCTTTTCTTAATGTCCCTATCCACCTATTCTTAATGTCCCTATCCACCTTTTCTTAATGCCCCTACCTCCCTTTCTTAATGTCCCTATCCACGTATTCTTAATGTCCCTATCCACGTATTCTTAATGCCCCTATCCACCTATTCTTAATGTCCCTATCCACCTATTCTTAATGCCCCTATCCACCTATTCTTAATGCCCCTATCCACCTATTCTTAATGTCCCTATCCACCTATTCTTAATGCCCCTATCCACGTATTCTTAATGCCCCTATCCACCTTTTCTTAATGCCACTATCCACCTATTCGTAATGCCCCTATCCACCTATTCTTAATGCCCCTATCCACCTATTCTTAATTTCCCTATCCACCTTTTCTTAATGCCCCTACCACCCTTTCTTAATGTCCCTATCCACCTTTTCTTAATGCCCCTACCACCCTTTCTTAATGTCCCTATCCACCCATTCTTAATGTCCCTATCCACCTATTCTTAATGCCCCTATCCAACTATTCTTAATGTCCCTATCCACCTATTCTTAATGTCCCTATCCACCTATTCTTAATGCCCCTATTCTTAATGTCCCTATCCACCTATTCATAATGCCCCTATCCACCTATTCTTAATGCCCCTATCCACCTATTCTTAATGTCCCTATCCACCTATTCTTAATGCCCCTATCCACCTTCTCTTAATGTCCCTATCCACCTATTCTTAATGTCCCTATCCACCTATTCTTAATGCCCCTATTCTTAATGTCCCTATCCACCTATTCTTAATGCCCCTATCCACCTTTTCTTAATGTCCGTATCCACCAATTCTTAATGCCCCTATCCACCTATTCTTAATGTCCCTATCCACCTATTCTTAATGCCCCTATCCACCTATTCTTAATGTCCCTATACACCTATTCTTAATGCCCCTATCCACCTTTTCTTAATGTCCCTATCCACCTATTCTTAATGCCCCTACCACCCTTTCTTAATGTCCCTATCCACCCATTCTTAATGTCCCTATCCATCCATTCTTAATGCCCCTATCCACCTATTCTTAATGTCCCTATCCACCTATTCTTAATGCTCCTATCCACCTATTCTTAATGCCCCTATCCACCTATTCTTAATGTCCCTATCCACCTATTCTTAATGTCTCTATCCACCTATTCTTATTGTCCCTTTCCACCTATTTTTAATGCCCCTATCCACCTATTCTTAATGTCCCTATCCACCTATTCTTAATGTCCCTATCCACCTTTTCTTAATGCCCCTACCACCCTTTCTTAATGTCCCTTTCCACGTATTCTTAATGTCCCTATCCACCTATTCTTAATGCTCCTATCCACCTATTCTTAATGCCCCTATCCACCTATTCTTAATGCCCCTATCCACCTATTCTTAATGCCCCTATCCACCTATTCTTAATGCCCCTACCACCCTTTCTTAATGTCCCTATCCACCCATTCTTAATGTCCCTATCCACCCATTCTTAATGTCCCTATCCACCTATTCTTAATGTCCCTATCCACCTATTCTTAATGCCCCTATCCACCTATTCTTAATGTCCCTATCCACCTATTCTTAATGCCCCTATCCACCTTTTCTTAATATCCCTATCCACCTATTCTTAATGCCCCTATCCACCTATTCTTAATGTCCCTATCCACCTATTCTTAATGCCCCTATCCACCTATTCTTAATGTCCCTATCCACCTATTCTTAATGCCCCTATCCACCTTTTCTTAATATCCGTATCCACCTATTCTTAATGTCACCTAATTCCCTATCCACCTATTCTTAATGCCCCTAACACCCTTTCTTAATGTCCCTATCTACCCTTATTCTTAATGCCCCTATCCACCTATTCTTAATGTCCCTATCCACCTATTCTTAATGCCCCTATCCACCTATTCTTAATGTCCCCAACCTATTCTTAATGTCCCTATCCACCTATTCTTAATGCCCCTATCCACGTATTCTTAATGCCCCTATCCACCTTTTCTTAATGCCACTATCCACCTATTCGTAATGCCCTATCCACCTTTTCTTAATGTCCCTCTCCACCTATTCTTAATGTCCCTATCCACCTTTTCTTAATGCCCCTACCACCCTTTCTTAATGTCCCTATCCACATATTCTTAATGTTGCTATCCACCTATTCTTAATGCCCCTATCCACGTATTCTTAATGCCCCATCCACCTTTTCTTAATGCCACTATCCACCTATTCGTAATGCCCCTATCCACCTTCTCTTAATGTCCCTATCCACCTATTCTTAATGTCCCTATCCACCTTTTCTTAATGCCCCTACCACCCTTTCTTAATGTCCCTATCCACCTTTTCTTAATGCCCCTACCACCCTTTCTTAATGTCCCTATCCACCTATTCTTAATGTCCCTATCCACCTATTCTTAATGTCCCTATCCACCTATTCTTAATGCCCCTATCCACCTATTCTTAATGTCCCTATCCACCTATTCTTAATGTCCCTATCCACCTATTCTTAATGCCCCTATCCACCTATTCTTAATGCCCCTATCCACCTATTCTCAATGTCCCTATCCACCTATTATTAATGCCCCTATCCACCTTTTCTTAATATCCGTATCCACCTATTCTTAATGTCCCTATCCACCTTTTCTTAATGTCCCTATCCACCTATTCTTAATGCCCCTACCACCCTTTCTTAATGTCCCTATCCACCCATTCTTAATGCCCCTATCCACCTATTCTTAATGTCCCTATCCACCTATTCTTAATGCCCCTATCCACCTATTCTTAATGTACCTACCAACCTATTCTTAATGTCCCTATCCACCTATTCTTAATGCCCCTATCCACGTATTCTTAATGCCCCTATCCACCTTTTCTTAATGCCACTATCCACCTATTCGTAATGTCCTATCCACCTTTTCTTAATGTCCCTCTCCACCTATTCTTAATGTCCCTATCCACCTTTTCTTAATGCCCCTACCACCCTTTCTTAATGTCCCTATCCACGTATTCTTAATGTCGCTATCCACCTATTCTTAATGCCCCTATCCACCTTTTCTTAATGCCACTATCCACCTATTCGTAATGCCCCTATCCACCTATTCTAAATGTCCCTATCCACCTATTCTTAATGTCCCTATCCACCTTTTCTTAATGCCCCTACCACCCTTTCTTAATGCTCCTATTCACCTTTTCTTAATGCCCCTACCACCCTTTCTTAATGTCCCTATCCACACATTCTTAATGTCCCTATCCAACTATTCTTAATGTCCCTATCCACCTATTCTTAATGTCCCTATCCACCTATTCTTAATGCTCCTATCCACCTATTCTTAATGTCCCTATCCACCTATTCTTAATGCCCCTATCCACCTATTCTTAATGTCCTTATCCACCTATTCTTAATGTCCCTATCCACCTATTCTTAATGCTCCTATCCACCTATTCTTAATGCCCCTATCCACCTATTCTTAATGCCCCTATCCACCTATTCTTAATGCCCCTATCCACCTATTGTTATATATTATTGTGTTATTCATTTGTATTTCTATTGTAAAATTCTTTCAGTAATATAGTAAGAAATAAGTTTAAACCTGAATGTCCATATTTATTGTTTTTGAAAAAAATAATATGAAATAACAAAGAATTGCAAATGATACAAAGTTTTGTTACATCCAAACTTTTCTATAAATAGTAATGGTGACCTCAATTTTAACTCTGGCATGCTGAAACATTCACGATATAATGAAACTTGACTAATACATGAAGTTTAATTAAAATCAGTTGAGAAATGAAGTCGTTAGATTGGTGATAAAAAGTGAACATATAAAGGTATATAAAGAACTGTATATCCCCTCTGTGGTTGTCACTAGGGGATAGAAATAATAACAGAACACTATATCCCCTCTGTGGTTGTCACCAGGGGATAGAAATAATAACAGAACACTATATCCCCTCTGTGGTTGTCACCAGGGGATAGAAATAATAACAGAACACTATATCCCCTCTGTGGTTGTCACTAGGGGATAGAAATAATAACAGAACACTATATCCCCTCTGTGGTTGTCACTAGGGGATAGAAATAATATCCCCTCTGTGGTTGTCACAGAACCCCTCTGTGGTTGTCACTAGGGGATATCAGAACACTATATCTCCTCTGTGGTTGTCACTAGGGGATAGAAATAATAACAGAACACTATATCCCCTCTGTGGTTGTCACTAGGGGATAGAAATAATAACAGAACACTATATCCCCTCTGTGGTTGTCACTAGGGGATAGAAATAATAACAGAACACTATATCCCCTCTGTGGTTGTCACTAGGGGATAGAAATAATAACAGAACACTATATCCCCTCTGTGGTTGTCACTGTGGGTTGTCACTAGGGGATAGAAATAATAACAGAACACTATTTCCCCCCTGTGGGTGTCACTAGGGGATAGAAATAATAACAGAACACTATATCCCCTCTGTGGTTGTCACCAGGGGATAGAAATAATAACAATGGTTGTCACCAGGGGATAGAAATAATAACAGAACACTATATCCCCTCTGTGGTTGTCACTAGGGGATAGAAATAATAACAGAACACTATATCCCCTCTGTGGTTGTCACTAGGGGATAGAAATAATAACAATGGTTGTCACTAGGGGATAGAAATAATAACAGAACACTATTTCCCCCCTGTGGGTGTCACTAGGGGATAGAAATAATAACAGAACACTATATCCCCCCTGTGGGTGTCACTAGGGGATAGAAATAATAACAGAACACTTTACCCCTATGTGGTTGTCATTAGGAGACTTACTGCTAACAGAGATTCCTCTTTTGTGTGTTTTCACAAGTCGATCCATCAGATTGAAACTGTCTGCTACCAATATCCTTTTACAACCCTCTCTGAGTGACATCTGTAACAGACACACAAAATCACATATCTCTGTTGTGTTTCTCTCAGTGACATCTGTAACACACACAAAATCACATATCTCTGTTGTGTTTCTCTCAGTGACATCTGTAACACACACAAAATCACATATCTCTGTTGAGTTTCTCTGAGTGACATCTGCAACACACACACAAAATCACATATCTCTGTTGTGTTTCTCTGAGTGACATCTGTAACACACACAAAATCACATAACTTTGTGATGATTGAAAAGCTGGAATTTTGCAGTGCAATGTACATCTCGGGAAAACCTTCTATGCTTTGGTTTTCCTGTATTCCCATAGCACTATTGTGTTTAAACTTTTTATACCAAGACAAAAGTTGTCATTTCTAAATTTAGAATTGATATAAAGGTCAATTCCAACTCAAATAAAACCTACCTCTAGGAGAAATCTAGCATTGTCTTCAAAATTAGGATTCACATTTCAGATTTTCTTCTCTCTTACTTTAAAACTGCTCAGAAGGTGGCATGTTTGTGGCTGTTTTCTTTCAATCAACATATGATATTTCATCTAAATGGCTAATGGATAGAGAGTTCTACTTATAGGGCAGAAACATGTGTATAAAAACAGCATGGCATTTGTGGAAAAAGCAATGACACTAGGTGCTGGCAAAATTAGGGTAGCAATGTTACCAACAGGGCAGGATGACACTAGGTAGGGCAAAATTTGGGTAGCAATGTTACCAACAGGGCAGGACGATACTAGGTGGGGGAAAATTAGGGTTGCAATGTTACCAACAGGGCAGGATGACACTAGGTGCTGGCAAAATTAGGGTAGCAATGTTACCAACAGGGCAGGACGACACTAGGTGCTGGCAAAATTTGGGTAGCAATGTTACCAACAGGGCAGGACGACACTGGGTGGGGCAAAATTAGGGTAGCAATGTTACCATCATGGCAGGATGACACTAGGTAGGGCAAAATTAGGGTAACAATGTTACCAACAGGGCAGCATGGCACTGGGTGGGACAAAATTAGGGTAACAATGTTATCAACAGGGCAGGATGACACTAGGTGGGGCAAAATTAGGGTAGCAATGTTACCATCAGGGCAGCATGACACTAGGTGGGGCATAATTAGGGTAGCAATGTTACCATCATGGCAGGATGAAACTAGGTAGGGCAATATTAGGGTAACAATGTTACCAACAGGGCAGCATGGCACTGGGTGGGACAAAATTATGGTAACAATGTTATCAACAGGGCAGAATGACACTAGGTGGGGCAAAATTAGAGTAGCAATGTTACCATCAGGGCAGCATGACACTAGGTGGGGCAAAATTAGGGTAGCAATGTTACCATCATGGCAGGATGACACTAGGTAGGGCAATATTAGGGTAACAATGTTACCAACAGGGCAGCATGGCACTGGGTGGGACAAAATTAAGGTAACAATGTTACCAACTGGGCAGGATGACACTAGGTGGGGCAAAATTAGGGTAACAATGTTACCAACAGGGCAGCATGGCACTGGGTGGGTAAGAAAGGGACAGGAAGGTACTGATGAATTATTCACACTTGAAGGACAAACTATTGAGCAGACATGAGATTTTACCTGTAAGTTATAATCCTGTAATATCTTGACCAGTGAATCCCTCAGACCTGGAATGTGCATGCCTTCCTGTATCTTAGCAATAAGGATAATAGGGTCTACATGTGTTCCTATATTCTGTAACAGGCCTTTAATAAAACCTGGAAAAAAATCAATGGAAAATACTGTATGTAAAACAGTTACACAGTACAAAATAGTAAATGGAGAATACTGTATGTAAAACTGTTACACTGTACAAAATAGTAATTGGAGAATACTGTATGTTAAACTGTTACACTGTACAAAATAGTAAATGGAGAATACTGTATGTAAAACTGTTACACTGTAAAACAAAGTAAATGGAGAATACTGTATGTTAAACTGTTACACTGTACAAAGTAGTAAATGGAGAATACTGTGTGTTAAACTGTTACACTGTACAAAGTAGTAAATGGAGAATACTGTATGTTAAACTGTTACACTGTACAAAATAGTAAATGGAGAATACTGTATGTTAAACTGTTACACTGTACAAAATAGTAAATGAAGAATACTGTATGTTAAACTGTTACACTGTACAAAATAGTTAATGGAGAATACTGTATGTAAAACTGTTACACTGTAAAACAAAGTAAATAGAGAATACTGTATGTTAAACTGTTACACTGTAAAAAGTAGTAAATGGAGAATACTGTATGTTAAACTGTTACACTGTACAAAATAGTTAATGGAGAATACTGTATGTAAAACTGTTACACTGTAAAACAAAGTAAATAGAGAATACTGTATGTTAAACTGTTACACTGTACAAAATAGTAAATAGAGAATACTGTATGTTAAACTGTTACACTGTAAAACAAAGTAAATGGAGAATACTGTATGTAAAACTGTTACACTGTAAAACAAAGTAAATAGAGAATACTGTATGTTAAACTGTTACACTGTAAAACAAAGTAAATGGAGAATACTGTTTATTATATGCATGAAATTTTCTCGAAATCGCATTGGCTGGATCCTATACACGTGATCAGTTCTCAAAAACTGATGAGGACTGGTTTTACGGCGAATATCGATTTCTAAATATAGCCTAAATGGAAATTCCCTACAGCTTGTCGCAATGCATGCGCTGTTAGACCGGAACGCAATCTGTCAGACGATCACAGACGTTGCGATGGCTGCCGGCGAACATTTTGCCTCTGTTACAGTTGTCAGGATGTTAAAGCATTCAATAAAGTCAGAATCTTTGTTTATCTTTTGTGTTCTTATTGAACATATAATAAAACAGTTGTGGACTTCTGTGCTGGTAAATATGATGTAATATGAACCTACAAAAATGATATTAACCTCGGCTTCACCTCGGTCAATATAATTTTTTCAGGTTCATATCACATCATATTGTATAATGTAAAACAGTTACCAGTACATAATAGTAAATGGAGTACATAAACTGTATAATGTAAAACAGTTACACAGTACATAATAGTAAATGGAGAATACTGTATGTTAAACTGTTACACTGTACAAAACAGTAAATGGAGAATACTGTATGTTAAACTGTTACACTGTACAAAATAGTAAATGGAGAATACTGTATGTAAAACTGTTACACTGTAAAACAAAGTAAATGGAGAAAACTGTATTTTAAACTGTTACACTGTACAAAGTAGTAAATGGAGAATACTGTATGTAAAACTGTTACACTGTAAAACAAAGTAAATGGAGAATACTGTATGTTAAACTGTTACACTGTACAAAATAGTAATTGGAGAATACTCGGCTTCACCTCGGTCAATATAATTTTTTCAGGTTCATATCACATCATATTCACCAGCACCGAAGTCCATAATTGTATAATGTAAAAAAGTTACACAGTACATAATAGTAAATGGAGAATACTGTATGTTAAACTGTTACACTGTACAAAACAGTAAATGGAGAATACTGTATGTTAAACTGTTACACTGTACAAAATAGTAAATGGAGAATACTGTATGTAAAACTGTTACACTGTAAAACAAAGTAAATGGAGAATACTGTATGTTAAACTGTTACACTGTACAAAATAGTAAATGGAGAATACTGTATGTTAAACTGTTACACTGTACAAAATAGTAAATGGAGAATACTGTATGTTAAACTGTTACACTGTACAAAATAGTTAATGGAGAATACTGTATGTAAAACTGTTACACTGTACAAAATAGTAAATAGAGAATACTGTATGTTAAACTGTTACACTGTAAAACAAAGTAAATGGAGAATACTGTATGTTAAACTGTTACACTGTACAAAGTAGTAAATGGAGAATACTGTATGTAAAACTGTTACACTGTAAAACAAAGTAAATAGAGAATACTGTATGTTAAACTGTTACACTGTAAAACAAAGTAAATGGAGAATACTGTATGTAAAACTGTTACACTGTAAAACAAAGTAAATAGAGAATACTGTATGTTAAACTGTTACACTGTAAAACAAAGTAAATGGAGAATACTGTTTATTATATGCATGAAATTTTCTCGAAATCGCATTGGCTGGATCCTATACACGTGATCAGTTCTCAAAAACTGATGAAGACTGGTTTTCCGGCGAATATCGATTTCTAAATATAGCCTAAATGGAAATTCCCTACAGCTTGTCGCAGTGCATGCGCTGTTAGACCGGAACGCAATCTGTCAGATGATCACAGACGTTGCGATGGCTGCCGGCGAACATTTTGCCTCTGTTACAGTTGTCAGGATGTTAAAGCATTCAATAAAGTCAGAATCTTTGTTTATCTTTTGTGTTCTTATTGAACATATAATAAAACAGTTATGGACTTCTGTGCTGGTAAATATGATGTGATATGAACCTACAAAAATGATATTAACCTCGGCTTCACCTCGGTCAATATAATTTTTTCAGGTTCATATCACATCATATTCACCAGCACCGAAGTCCATAATTGTATAATGTAAAACAGTTACACAGTACATAATAGTAAATGGAGAATACTGTATGTTAAACTGTTACACTGTACAAAACAGTAAATGGAGAATACTGTATGTTAAACTGTTACACTGTACAAAATAGTAAATGGAGAATACTGTATGTTAAACTGTTACACTGTAAAACAAAGTAAATGGAGAATACTGTGTGTTAAACTGTTACACTGTAAAACAAAGTAAATGGAGAATACTGTATGTTAAACTGTTACACTGTACAAAGTAGTAAATGGAGAATACTGTATGTTAAACTGTTACACTGTACAAAGTAGTAAATGGAGAATACTATATGTAAAACTGTTACACTGTAAAACAAAGTAAATAGAGAATACTGTATGTTAAACTGTTACACTGTACAAAGTAGTAAATGGAGAATACTGTATGTTAAACTGTTACACTGTACAAAGTAGAAAATGGAGAATACTGTATGTTAAACTGTTACACTGTAAAACAAAGTAAATAGAGAATACTGTATGTTTAACTGTTACACTGTAAAACAAAGTAAATGGAGAATACTGTATGTTAAACTGTTACACTGTACAAAGTAGTAAATGGAGAATACTGTATGTAAAACTGTTACACTGTAAAACAAAGTAAATGGAGAATACTGTATGTTAAACTGTTACACTGTACAAAATAGTAATTGGAGAATACTGTATGTTAAACTGTTACACTGTACAAAATAGTAAATGGAGAATACTGTATGTAAAACTGTTACACTGTAAAACAAAGTAAATGGAGAATACTGTATGTTAAACTGTTACACTGTACAAAGTAGTAAATGGAGAATACTGTATGTTAAACTGTTACACTGTAAAACAAAGTAAATGGAGAATACTGTATGTTAAACTGTTACACTGTACAAAATAGTAAATGGAGAATACTGTATGTTAAACTATTACACTGTAAAGCTAAGTAAATGGAGAATACTGTATGTAAAACTGTTACACTGTACAAAGTAGTAAATGGAGAATACTGTATGTTAAACTGTTACACTGTAAAACAAAGTAAATGGAGAATACTGTGTGTTAAACTGTTACACTGTAAAACAAAGTAAATGGAGAATACTGTATGTAAAACTGTTACACTGTACAAAATAGTAAATGGAGAATACTGTATGTTAAACTGTTACACTGTACAAAATAGTAAATGGAGAATACTGTATGTCTAACTGTTACACTGTAAAAACCAGTAAATGTTTGTTCATGTCGTACTATTAATGTCACATCAGTTATTGGTCATGTTGTGATTCAAAATGTCATGTTATATAACGGCATGTCAATAAACGTCAAGTTTGGTAATATCACGTCACTTAATGTCATTATTTAATCATTTCATGTAGTATAGGCTAATATCACATATGTTTATATCATAACAGTTATAGTCACACTGGTTTAATATCATGTCCATCAATGCCAAATCTACTGATGGCACATAAATTAATGTCAGATCCTCCAAGTTCTTTAGTCTCAGACCTTGGGTCCAGGTTGGGGATGAAAAAATACTTATTAGGTTTGTCTATACTATACTGAATTAGATACTCTCAGTTCTTTAGTCTCAGACCTTGGGTCCGGGTCGGAGACAAAATACTTACTAGGTTTGTCTATACTATACTGGATCAGATCCTCCCACAATTCCTCTTCGTTCTGGTCTTTACAGAATTCAATTGCCTGGTTCACATCCTCAAGTCGTGATGTTATCAATTCTAATGCCTGCTTAATGTTACCCATTCGACCTGGAAACACAAAATGTATCTTCTCTGATTGAATTAACTACAGTGAATTACACCAGAACTCATGTGACTAGAATACCTAGGATGAAATAAACTATCACCCATGTGACTAGAAGGATTACGATTTATGTGACTAGAATGCCTTGGATGAAATACACTAGCATCCATGTGACTAGAAGGCCTACGATGAAATACACTAGCACTTATGTGACTAGAAGGACTACGATGGAATACACTAGCACTCATGTGACAAGAAGGCCTACGATGAAATACACTAGCATCCATGTGACTAGAAGGCCTATGATAAAATACACTAGCACTCATGTGACTAGAAGGCCTACGATGAAATACACTAGCACTCATGTGACTAGAAGGCCTATGATGGGATACACTAGCACTCATGTGACTAGAAGGCCTACAATGGAATACACTAGCAATCATGTGACTAGAAGGCCTACGATGGAATACACTAGCACTCATGTGACTAGAAGGCCTACGATGGAATACACTAGCACTCATGTGACTAGAAGGCCTACGATGGAATACACCAGAACTCATGTGACTAGAATGCCTAGGAGGAAATACACTAGCACCCATGTGACTAGAATGCCTAGGATGAAATAAACTATCACCCATGTGACTAGAAGGATTACGATGAAACACACTAGCACCCATGTGACTAGAAGGCCTACGATTTATGTGACTAGAATGCCTTGGATGAAATACACTAGCATCCATGTGACTAGAAGGCCTACGATGAAATACACTAGCACTCATGTGACTAGAAGGCCTACGATGAAATACACTAGCATCCATGTGACTAGAAGGCCTATGATAAAATACACTAGCACTCATGTGACTAGAAGGCCTACGATGAAATACACTAGCACTCATGTGACTAGAAGGCCTATGATGGGATACACTAGCACTCATGTGACTAGAAGGCCTACAATGGAATACACTAGCAATCATGTGACTAGAAGGCCTACGATGGAATACACTAGCACTCATGTGACTAGAAGGCCTACGATGGAATACACTAGCACTCATGTGACTAGAAGGCCTACGATGGAATACACCAGAACTCATGTGACTAGAATGCCTAGGAGGAAATACACTAGCACCCATGTGACTAGAATGCCTAGGATGAAATAAACTATCACCCATGTGACTAGAAGGATTACGATGAAACACACTAGCACCCATGTGACTAGAAGGCCTACGATTTATGTGACTAGAATGCCTTGGATGAAATACACTAGCATCCATGTGACTAGAAGGCCTACGATGAAATACACTAGCACTCATGTGACTAGAAGGCCTACGATGAAATACACTAGCATCCATGTGACTAGAAGGCCTATGATAAAATACACTAGCACTCATGTGACTAGAAGGCCTACGATGAAATACACTAGCACTCATGTGACTAGAAGGCCTATGATGGGATACACTAGCACTCATGTGACTAGAAGGCCTACAATGGAATACACTAGCAATCATGTGACTAGAAGGCCTACGATGGAATACACTAGCACTCATGTGACTAGAAGGCCTACGATGGAATACACTAGCACTCATGTGACTAGAAGGCCTACGATGGAATACACCAGAACTCATGTGACTAGAATGCCTAGGAGGAAATACACTAGCACCCATGTGACTAGAATGCCTAGGATGAAATAAACACTCATGTGACCCATGTGACTAGAAGGATTACCTAGATGAAACACACTAGCACCCATGTGACTAGAAGGCACTAACGTGACTAGAATGCCTAGGAGGAAATACACTAGTGTGACTAGAATGCCTAGGATGAAATACACTAGCATCACACTGCACCCATGACTAGAAGGCCTACGATTTATGTGAAAATGCCTTGGACACTAGCATCCATGTGACTAGAAGGCCTACGATGAAATACACTAGCACTCATGTGACTAGAAGGCCTACGATGAAATACACTAGCATCCATGTGACTAGAAGGCCTATGATAAAATACACTAGCACTCATGTGACTAGAAGGCCTACGATGAAATACACTAGCACTCATGTGACTAGAAGGCCTATGATGGGATACATTAGCACTCATGTGACTAGAAGGCCTACAATGGAATACACTAGCAATCATGTGACTAGAAGGCCTACGATGGAATACACCAGAACTCATGTGACTAGAATGCCTAGGAGGAAATACACTAGCACCCATGTGACTAGAATGCCTAGGATGAAATACACTAGCACTCATGTGACTAGAAGGCCTACGATGAAACACATTAGCACCCATGTGACTAGAAGGCCTAGGATGAAATACACTAGCACTCATATGACTAAAAGGCCTACAATGAAACACACTAGCACCCATGTGAATAGAAGGCCTACGATTTATGTGACTAGAATGCCTTGGATGAAATACACTAGCACCCATGTGACTAGAAGGCCTACGATGGAATACACTAGCACTTATGTGACTAGAAGGCCTACGATGAAATACACTAGCACTCATGTGACTAGAAGGCCTATGATGGAATACACTAGCACTCATGTGACTAGAAGGCCTACGATGAAACACACTAGCACCCATGTGACTAGAAGGCCTATGATTTATGTGACTAGAAGGCCTACGATGAAATACACCAGAACTCATGTGACTAGAAGGCCTGAGATGAAATACACCAGAACTCATGTGACACATGGTTGGTCACATGTGACAATTAAAAGGCACTTGGAATCATTCATTTTATCACTTTCAGTAAAAGGGAACAATTTCTAATATTGACAGTTAACTCTACATTTGATGGTGAAACATCGTACATTTGGTGTATCTTCAAATATTTCTTACCCAATAAAAACACTTGTTCTGGAATGAAATCCCTCATCTCACATTCCTCCAGTGCCATCTGGAGGGGGTAATGATTGCTACTTCGTAAAAAGGACAGCAGACGAGGCCTGTCAAACTCTGCATACAATCTCACTTGTTTGCCGTGGTACTTTTGACAGAGCTGGGGATCTTTCTGGAACAGCTTGTCCAAGTACTGGTATCAAAACAAAGTCTATTAGATATTTGACCATTAATAAGTTTATGAATGTTATGTTCTTGACCTTCTGTGAGGAAGTATGTCACTCTGACCTAATTCTGTTGATGTAGGTCAAAAAGTTACAATGTATGTCACAGTGACCTACTTTTGATATATGACAAACTGTCCCAATAAGGTGCATCCATACTCCTAGAATGAAGTTCCAGTGACAGGAAAAGATAGAGATAAAACAAAATAGCAGGATGGATGGACGGAAGGATAGAAGGATTGTAACCCTATGCAAGGTTATCTGCCCTTGCTTTACATATTAGGCAGTATTATCTGTTTTGGTTCTATTACTGAGTTGATGTTTATAATATTTAATTATTAAGCAGAATTATCTGTTTTAGTTATATGTTCTGACACACAGTCATTGTTCTGTGGGGGACATATATTAAGGTCACTTTACTACGCTGTACTGCTGCTGCTGAGGCAGGTGCACAAACTGTGCAATAGTTAATACCTAAAACGCTGACAAATGTTTATGTGACATAATTTTTGAAAGTCTTTTGTTTACACTGGGAGACCGGACCTTGGCGTGTGTGGCCGAATTGAAGGCTTTGTATTTGTTTTCGACTGTTTTGGCTCCAGAATGTCTGGGATTCAATTCAAAATAAGTAATAGTTTGACAGCCTTGGTCAACTGGGGTCACCCATCAAATTTGACAGTCATGTAGGCATTAGACATAAATAGGAGGGGATAAGGTCGTTCCTCACTCCGGTCACTAGACAGCGTATTGGACGGACTGGTGTCACGAGGCCTGGGACCAGGGCAGGTACGGGAGCGAGAGAGTTTTGTAAGCTTACCGGAAATAAAAAGCATTTTTCTTCACCTTCTGTAGTCCTTCAATTGTGTCTCTCGAACGGTTCAAGAGGGTTACAGGATAAAGGAATGGACGAAAAGCAAACCTTTTTAAATGGAACATTACGGTACCCACAAACCCAAGATTAATTGGCAATGATTGTCCTCCTTAGAGTATCTATTCACTCTCCATATACTATCTTGAAATTTAAATGCTTAATTTCAACAGGAAGTGGTGATAATATATACTGCCAAATTAGAAACTTGCAGCACTCACCTGATACAATTTTTTCAAATTCATTTGACAAACTCAAAACAAAGTGTGTATGAAATTCACTACATAAATGAAGAAACACAAAGTCAGAAGGCTAGAAGTCATGTAGTATACTAACTTAGTAGCAGTATGTTACTGATGAACGTTATTTGTACTAATTTTAGATTGCCAGAAATGAATCAATGTGTACAAGAAAGTTAAATTTGTAAAAATAAGCAATTATAGTACTAAAAAAATTAATTTAAAGTTTTAACAAATTTGACTTCTGTGACCTAGAATATAGGTCAAGGTCATTTCTTTAAGTAAACTTGGCTGGGCTTCATCCTAGGAACATACTAGCAAAATATCAAAACATTTGGTCAGATGCTACACCACAGCAAAAGCTCATCCTTCGGCAAGATGAGCTAAAAAGGATGTTACAACTTACCACATATAAGTTATGCGGAGTTTTCTCTAACTGTTGCACAACGTTGTCAATCTGAAATAACAAAACTGTTTTAAGAATGTGTGGCTGTGATGTTTGATGTGGGTCACAAACAAACAATGTATTAGAGTAATAATTACTTGTGCCTGTTGGTTGTAATCACAAAGAACTTACCGACATTTTCTTCATGTTGCCAATCAGCATAGCAACAGCCTGCTCACAATCAAACTCCATTAAATGAATAATTTTGTCGCTGATGGAATCGAAAAGGTCGTGTTTATAAATCAACTGGAATACATCCTTGTGTTTTAATCTGTGAAACACATAAACACATAAGGTTGAAGATAAATGACATTATATAATGCAACATCAAAATGCTTTGTTTAAAGGGATATTCATTTGCTCAAGATTTTAAACTATAACGTGAAGTCCAGTCAGCCTGAATCACTCAACTGCTAAGTAGCTTACAAACAAAACTTTGTAAGGGAGTCAATTTCTGCAAATCTGAAATTCAATTGCTCAGCAAAATACAAATACACAAATACCCAGGGCCTTCCCTGTGGTTACTGAAAGGTTTCAAATCAACATACTGAGCTTCTCAATATCAGCACACTAGAGGACCACTATCAGTACACTACAGGACCAATAGCAGTACACTACAGGACCAATAGCAGTACACTACAGGACCAATAGCAGTACACTACAGGACCAATATCAGTACACTAAAGGACCAATATCTGTACACTACAGGACCAATATCAGTACATACCAATATCAGTACATTACAGGACCACTATCAGTACACTACAGGTCCACTATTAGTACACTACAGGACCAATATCAGTACACTAAAGGACCAATATCAGTACATACCAATATCAGTACACTACAGGACCACTATCAGTACACTACAGGACCAATATCAGTACACTACAGGACCAATATCAGTACACTACAGGACCAATATCAGTACACTACAGGACCACTATCAGTCCACTACAGGACCAATATCAGTATATATCAATATCAGTACACTACAGGACCAATATCAGTACACTACAGGACCAATATCAGTACACTACAGGACCAATATCAGTACATACCAATATCAGTACAGTACAGGACCAATATCAGTATATACCAATATCAGTACAGTACAGGACCAATATCAGTATATACCAATATCAGTACACTAGAGGATCAATATCAGTACATACCAATATCAGTACAGTACAGGACCAATATCAGTACTCTAAAGGACCAATATCAGTACACTACAGGACCAATATCAGTACACTACAGGACCAATATCAGTACACTACAGGATCAATATCAGTACACTACAGGACCAATATCAGTACATACCAATATCAGTAAACAACAGGACCAATATCAGTATATATCAATATCAGTACATTACAGGACCAATATCAGTACACTACAGGACCACTATCAGTACACTACAGGACCAATATCAGTACATACCAATATCAGTACATATCAATATCAGTACACTACAGGACCAATTTCAGTACATATCAATATAAGTACATACCAATATCAGTACACTACAGGATCAATATCAGTACACTAAAGGACCAATATCAGTACACTACAGGACCAATAGCAGTACATACCAATATCAGTACACTACAGGACCAATACCAGTACATATCAATATCAGTACAGACAAATAACAGTACACTACAGGATCAATATCAGTACACTAAAGGACCAATATCAGTACACTACAGGACCAATAGCAGTACATACCAATATCAGTACACTACAGGACCACTATCAGTACACTACAGGACCAATATCAGTACATACCAATATCAGTACATATCAATATCAGTACACTTCAGGACCAATATCAGTACATACCAATATCAGTACACTAGAGGACCAATATCAGTACACTACAGGACCAATATCAGTACACTACAGGACCAATATCAGTACATACCAATATCAGTACACAACAGGACCAATATCAGTATATATCAATATCAGTACATTACAGGACCAATATCAGTACATACCAATATCAGTACACAACAGGACCAATATCAGTATATATCAATAACAGTACACTACAGGATCAATATCAGTACACTAGAGGACCAATATCAGTACACTAGAGGACCAATATCAGTACACTACAGGACCACTATCAGTACACTACAGGACCAATATCAGTACACTACAGGATCAATATCAGTATATATTAATATCAATACTCTACAGGACCAATATCAGTAAACTACAGGGCCACTATCAGTACACTACAGGACCAATATCAGTACACTACAGGACCAATATCAGTATATATCAATATCAGTACATTACAGGACCAATATCAGTACACTACAGGACCACTATCAGTACAGTACAGGACCAATATCAGTATATACCAATATCAGTACATATCAATATCAGTACACTTCAGGACCAATATCAGTACACTAGAGGACCAATATCAGTACACTTCAGGACCAATATCAGTACACTACAGGACCAATATCAGTACATACCAATATCAGTACACAACAGGACCAATATCAGTACATATCAATATCAGTACACAACAGGACCAATATCAGTACACTACAGGACCACTATCAGTACACTACAGGACCAATATCAGTACACTACAGGATCAATATCAGTATATATTAATATCAATACTCTACAGGACCAATATCAGTAAACTACAGGGCCACTATCAGTACACTACAGGACCAATATCAGTACATACCAATATCAGTACACTAGAGGATCAATATCAGTACATACCAATATCAGTACACTAGAGGATCAATATCAGTACATACCAATATCAGTACAGTACAGGACCAATATCAGTACTCTAAAGGACCAATATCAGTACACTACAGGACCAATATCAGTACACTACAGGACCAATATCAGTACACTACAGGACCAATATCAGTACATACCAATATCAGTACACAACAGGACCAATATCAGTACACTACAGGACCACTATCAGTACACTAGAGGACCAATATAAGTACAGTACATACCAATATCAGTACACTATAGGACCAATATCGGTACACTACAGGACCAACATCAGTACACTACAGGACCAATATAAGTACACTACAGGACCACTATCAGTACACTACTGGACCAATATCAGTACATTACAGGACCAATATCAGTACACTACAGGACCAATATAAGTACAGTACATACCAATATCAGTACACTATAGGACCAGTATCGGTACACTACAGGACCAATATCGGTACACTACAGGACCATTATCGGTACACTACACGACCAATATCAGTACACTACAGGACCAATATCAGTACACTACAGGACCATTATCAGTACACTACAGGACCAATATCAGTACACTACAGGACCAATATCAGTACACTACAGGACCAATATCAGTACACTACAGGACCAATATCAGTACACTACAGGACCAATATCAGTACACTACAGGACCAATATCAGTACACTACAGGACCAATATCAGTACACCTCTACTGTAATACAAAGAGGATTATAATTAGGCTTCAAATATTTGTTGATTATCAAAGGCAAAATTACATCAACTTGATGTTAAATCGACAACTTTACAAATTAAGTAACCCATACTTACTTGATGTATATTGCCAAAGCTTTGTCAAAGGATCGCTCAAACGAATACCTGTAACATGTCAATCATATATCTGTCACAAGGTTTGTCAAGGGATCACTCAAACAGACACCTGTAACATGTCAATCATATATCTGTCACAAGGTTTGTCAAGGGATCACTCAAACAGACACCTGTAACATGTCAATCATATATCTGTCACAAGGTTTGTCAAGGGATCACTCAAACAGACACCTGTAACATGTAAATCATATATCTGTCACAAGGTTTGCTGTGTCAGGTGATATCACCAGGACATACTGATATGTTACGATGTAAACAAATTCATCAGAACAATGTTAACAAAACAATTAAGAGGGCTTACAATTCTCCTAGAGCCTGTAGTAATGTCTTGTCACCACGGTGACTATCCAGCCTTTCAAGTGTGGAGTTTATAAGTGTTTTCACATTGTACAAGTAACTTGGCCACTCCTTTACCATCTTCAAATAGGTCTGTAAATGGAATACAGCAAGACACACCATTGTAATAATGTTTGTCATACTTATAGATACACCTGTAATACTTTTTGTTATACTTATTGATACACACCTGTAATACTGTTTTACATACTTATAGATACACCTGTAATAATGTTTGTCATACTTATAGATACACCTGTAATAATGTTTGTCATACTTATAGATACACCGCTGTAATAATGTTTGTCATACTTATAGATACACCTGTAATAATGTTTGTCATCCTTATAGACACACCCCTGTAATAATGTTTGTCATACTTATAGATACACCTGTAATAATGTTTGTCATACTTATAGATACACCTGTAATAATGTTTGTCATCCTTATAGACACACCCCTGTAATAATGTTTGTCACTGTAATAATGTTTGTCATACTTATAGATACACCTGTAATAATGTTTGTCATACTTATAGATACACCGCTGTAATAATGTTTGTCATACTTATAGATACACCACTGTAATAATGTTTGTCATACTTATAGATACACCGCTGTAATAATGTTTGTCATACTTATAGATACACCTGTAATAATGTTTGTCATACTTATAGATACACCTGTAATAATGTTTGTCATACTTATAGACACACCGCTGTAATAATGTTTGTCACTGTAATAATGTTTGTCATACTTATAGATACACCTGTAATAATGTTTGTCATACTTATAGATACACCGCTGTAATAATGTTTGTCATACTTATAGATACACCTGTAATAATGTTTGTCTGTAATAATGTTTGTCATACTTATAGATACACCACTGTAATAATGTTTGTCATACTTATAGATACACCGCTGTAATAATGTTTGTCATACTTATAGATACACCTGTAATAATGTTTGTCATACTTATAGATACACCGCTGTAATAATGTTTGTCATACTTATAGATACACCTGTAATAATGTTTGTCATCCTTATAGACACACCCCTGTAATAATGTTTGTCATTCTTATAGATACACTGCTGTAATAATGTTTGTCATACTTATAGATACACCGCTGTAATAATGTTTGTCATACTTATAGATACACCACTGTAATAATGTTTGTCACACTTATAGATACACCACTGTAATAATGTTTGTCATACTTATAGATACACTGCTGTAATAATGTTTGTCATACTTATAGATACACCGCTGTAATAATGTTTGTCACACTTATAGATACACCACTGTAATAATGTTTGTCATACTTATAGATACACTGCTGTAATAATGTTTGTCATACTTATAGATACACTGCTGTAATAATGTTTGTCATATGTATAGATACAACTGTAATAATGTTTGTCGTAGTTATAGATACACCCATGTAATACCGTTGTCATAGTTATAGATACACCTGTAATGATGTTTGTCGTACTTATAGACACACCTCTCCATTGTCAGTGTGAAGATGATGCTAACATAATAATAACATACCTCTTTATCTGTGGTGAGAAACTCATTGAGTACCATCTCATAAATAGCTTGGCCTAGCTGGGGGTCTCCACGAGGTAGATACGGAGCAATCACCTGTCACATAAATAAATCTATGGATGAAAACAAGTCAATGACATGAGATATATTTCTATTTATCACTGAGCGTTTATACTGTATTGGGCAATGACAGAGAACAGCAGTATTTTTGCACATGCGTTAATTATACAGAATATCTATCTGAACTTACATAAAAATTACATTTAAAAATAAAGATAACAGACAAAATAAGTGATTTTTATGATGTGATGAACAAGATTATTATGAAAATTCATCTAGCTGCATTTTGGCTTGGGATAGGAAGACAAAAGTGGTTTGACACTTTTGTCTTTCTTCACTCTCACAAAAATACAGCTAATGTTTTAAGATACTAACCATGTATTCTCTATTTAATCGGGGAGGGTGATATCACCTTTTCATATTTTCAGTAAAATGACAGTATGTGGATTAACGTGAATATTTTTTTATAACACTTTCAGTATTATTTGATCCATAACAAAAACAATTCTAAAATAAAGTGACTTGACTGTCCTGTACATTGAACATGACCTACTGACCATGACATTCTACTGATTTTGACCTTCTACTGAACTTGACCTTCAACAGACATTGACCTTCTACTGACATTGACCTTCTACTAATCTAGATCTTCTACTGACCCTGACCTTCTACTGACCTTGAGCTGATGTATTTTGTGGAACTTGTACACAACTTCCTCCCAAGCTTCCTTGTCTTTGCGGAGAATCTTCACACAGAGCTGAGCAGCTTCTTCATACTGCTGGTCCTCCAGTAAATAGACTAGATATTGTCGCCCGACACGCTGACAGAAAAATCAAAACAAGAATTACATACTGTATGTCTCACCTGTCCAACACTGTTGAAAAATAGAAAAGATATTGTTGCCCAACACGCTGACAGAAAGGTCAAAACAAGAATTACATACTGTATGTCTCACCTGTCCACCACTGTTGGAAAATAGAAAAGATATTGTCACCCGACACACTGACAGAAAGGTCAAAACAAGAATTACTCATGTTTTGTCTGTCCAACATTGTTGGTAAAATGCAAAATACCTTGAAAAATTATTTTTCCCCTTAAAATGACCAAATTTCCAAGTTAATCTTAATTACTAACATGCAACATAGATATTGTCATGCTGTTGTTCTTACTTGTTAACACATTGTAAAAATATCACATGAAAGGTTTGTAGATTCTTGGGTTCTCAAATTCATTCAAATATGACATTTTGCTCCAAAAATAGCATTCTTCCTCTAATATTGTATGTTTCAATTTTATTATAAACTAAATTTGAAGTGAATGGAATAATTTGTAACAGGGAACACAAGATAAATGCCAAAATTTAAAAAAATCAGCTTCTCAGCAATATCTACAGTGAAACCTCGCTATTAAGACCACTTTGGGGACTGGACAAAAGTGGTCTTAATAGCGAGGTGGTCTTAATAGCCAGGTGGATCAGATTGACCACAAAGAACCGTAACTCTGTTTAAAATAAAGAGTATATATATAATGTACATGTATATTATTCAACAATAATAATAACTAATAATAATAAACTAAGATGTTGAATTTTATGAAATGCATGTAAAAAAGACAAAACTGCTGAATTGACAGAAGAATAATTATGTATATATTCCTTAGTTTATATCAAATATACATGTATATTTACTATTGTAAACATTGAATAAAAGGAAACAAACAATCCATTTTAAGTTCAATGGGAATTTAAAGTTAATTTTGCAACTACTTCACATAAATTTACGAACACATTTACTCAGTATTTGTAACAACTTTAATGAAGTCACTATAAAGTCTTTCAACGCTTCATTTTTCACTTAAATTCGCAAACACATTATCTTTATCAGTGTATCACTCAGTACAACACATTTTTCTTTTTACTTAAAAAAAAGAGTCCAGTGCACAATATTGCGAAGAGCTACAGATCTGGACAGCCTCCTCTTTCATACTTTTAACCGATCGCGATAGGTCGTTTCGTTTCCGTGGTTTCATCATTGCTTGATAAAGTTCATCAGAGTTTTGTGACAGAGAAAATGTGTCGTAAAAAAATTGGAACACATACACGTTTTTTTATTGTTCAAACGATATCGAGAGTGTAACATTGCTACAAAAACAGTTAAAAACCCTCGACAATGTGTGCGCGTGCAAGCCAAGGAATATCGGCCGAAACGACTACATAATTCACTTTTGGGTATGCAGGGCTTCTAAGGTGTTTAACAGCATACCTACCGATCTATCAATATATAATTAACAAACAACAGATCGCTATTAAAACGTGTCTGGCACGCGGTTTCAGACGGGTAGGCCAAGTTAATCCGATAAAGATGTTTACTTCGTTTAACGCCACCTGGTAACAGGGTCGGTAACCCGTGACGAAAACAATGGTCGTGAACGACACACATGTTCGCGGTTCACTGCCCACCAGGTAAACTTTAATCACTGGTCAGACCGTGGTCGTCATTGTGAGGTCAATTATCGTTAATAAGTGGTCGTTGGGACTGTTGGAAGTGGTCGTAATACGGAATAGTGGGGTGGTCGTAACACTGAAGCGACCAATACAAAGATATATAGTGGAAAAAAACAGAACTGAAAAAAAGTGCCCGTAATAGGGGGGTGATCGTAATTTTGAGGTGGTCGTTAGGTGAGGTTTCACTGTAATTCTAATTAGTTGATGGACTGCAAAATCCAAGATATTTTGTAGCAGTGGATGGGGGAACTACCTTATTACAAACTTTGGGTAGAGTTTCATCCTATGTGTTTATTAAGCAACAGGTCTAAACAAAGAACTGTAGAGTGAAATGTAAACATCCTCCACTGTTGCTGTCAAGAACCTTTGTAGACCTAGAAATATGATTTCTCTTATGGCTGTATGGTCAAACCTTTGTAGGCCTAGGGATGTGGATTCTAGCTGTAGAGATCTGATGGCTGTGTGGTTAAACCTTTGTAGACCTAGGAACATTAGTTCTACCTGAAGAGATCTGATGGCGGTATGGTCAAACCTTTGTAGGCCTAGGAATGTGGGCTCTAGCTGTAGAGATCTGATGGCGGTATGGTCAAACCTTTGTAGACCTAGGAATGTGGGTTCTAGCTGTAGAGATCGGATGGCAGTGTGGTCAAACCTATGTTGACCTAGGAATGTGGGTTCTACCTGTAGAGATCTGATGGCTGTGTGGTCAAACCTTTGTAGACCTAGGAACATTAGTTCTACCTGTAGAGATCTGATGGTGATGTGGTCAGACCTTTGTAGGCCTAGGAATGTGGGCTCTAGCTGTAGAGATCTGATGGCTGTGTGGTGAAACCTTTGTAGACCTAGGAACATGAGTTCTACCTTTACAGACCTGATGGCGATGTGGTCAAACCTTTGTTGACCTAGGAATGTGGGTTCTACCTATAGAGATCTGATGGCTGAGGATGTATGAGTCTAACGTTTACAGACCTGAGGATGTATGAGTCTAAACTTTACAGACCTGAGGACGTTTGAGTCATACCTTAACAGAACTGAGGATGAATGAGTCTAACCTTTACAGACCTGAGGATGTTTGAGTCTAACCTTTACAGACCTGAGGACATTTGAGTCTAACCTTTACAGAACTGAGGATGTATGAGTCTAACCTTCACAGAACTGTGGATGTATGAGTCTAACCTTTACAGACCTGAGGACATTTGAGTCTAACCGTTACAGAACTGAGGATGTATGACTCTAACCTTCACAGAACTGAGGATGTATGAGTCTAACCTTTACAGAACTGAGGATGTATGAGTCTAACCTTTACAGACATCAGGACATTTGTGTCTAACCTTTACAGAACTGAGGATGTATGAGTCTTACCTTAACAGAACGGAGGAAGTAGGAGTCTAACCTTTACAGACCTGAGGATGTATGAATCTAAACTTTACAGACCTGAGGACGTTTGAGTCTTATCTTAACAGGACTGAGGATGAATGAGTCTAACCTTTACAGACCTGAGGACATTTGAGTCTAACCTTTACAGAACTGAGGATGTATGAGTCTAACCTTCACAGAACTGAGGATGTATGAGTCTAACCTTTACAGAGCTGAAGACATTTGTGTCTAACCTTTACATATCTGATGATGTATGTGTCTAACCTTTACTGACTTGAGGATGTTTGAGTCTAACCTTTACAGACATGAGGACGTTTGTGTCTAACCTTTACAGAACTGAGAATGTATGAGTCTATCCTTTACAGACCTGAGGATATTTGAGTCTAACCTTTACAGACATGAGGACATTTGTGTCTAACCTTTACAGAACTGAGGATGTATGAGTCTAACCTTTACAGACCTGAGGACATTTGTGTCTAACCTTTACAGAAATGAGGATGTATGAGTCTAACCTTTACAGACATGAGGACATTGGTGTCTAACCTTTACAGAACTGAGAATGTATGAGTCTATCCTTTACAGAACTGAGGACATTTGAGTCTAACCTTTACAGAACTGAGGATGTATGAGTCGAAACTTTACAGACTTGAGGACGTTTGAGTCTTACCTCTACAGAACTGAGAATGTATGAGTCTAACCTTTACAGAACTGAGGATGTATGAGTCTAACCTTTACAGAATTGAGGATGTATGAGTCTTACCTCTACAGAACTGAGGATGTATGAGTCTTACCTCTACAGGACTGAGGATGAATGAGTCTAACCTTTACAGAACTGAGGATGTATGAGTCTAACCTTTACAGAACTGAGGATGTATGAGTCTAAACTTTACAGACTTGAGGACGTTTGAGTCTTACCTCTACTGAACTGAGGATGTATGTGTCTAACCTTTAACAGAACTGAGGATGTATGAGTCTAACATTTACAGACCTGATGACATTTGTGTCTAACCTTTACAGAACTGATGATGTATGAGTCTAACCTTTACAGACCTGAGGACATTTGAGTCTAACCTTTACAGAACTGAGGATGTATGAGTCTAACCTTCACAGAACTGTGGATGTATGAGTCTAACCTTTACAGACCTGAGGATATTTGAGTCTAACCTTTACAGAACTGAGGATGTATGACTCTAACCTTCACAGAACTGAGGATGTTTGAGTCTAACCTTTACAGACCTGAGGACATTTGAGTCTAACCTTTACAGAAATGAGGATGTATGAGTCTAACCTCTACAGAACTGAGAATTTATAAGTCTAACCTTTACAGAACTGAGGATGTATGAGGACGTTTGAGTCTTACCTCTACAGAACTGAGAATGTATGAGTCTCACCTTTACAGAACTGAGGATGTATGAGTCTAACCTTTACAGAACTGAGGATGTATGAGTCTAACCTTTACAGACATGAGGACATTGGTGTCTAACCTTTACAGAACTGAGAATGTATGAGTCTAACCTTTACAGAAATGAGGATGTATGAGTCTAACCTCTACAGAACTGAGAATTTATGAGTCTAACCTTTACAGAACTGAGGATGTATGAGTCTAATCTTTACAGAACTGAGGATGTATGAGTCTAAACTTTACAGACTTGAGGACGTTTGAGTCTTACCTCTACAGAACTGTGGATGTATGAGTCTAACCTTTACAGACCTGAGGATATTTGAGTCTAACCTTTACAGAACTGAGGATGTATGACTCTAACCTTCACAGAACTGAGGATGTATGAGTCTAACCTTTACAGACCTGAGGACATTTGAGTTTAACCTTTACAAACATGAGGACATTTGTGTCTAACCTTTACAGAACTGAGAATGTATGAGTCTAAACTTTACAGACCTGAGGACATTTGAGTCTAACCTTTACAGAACTGAGGATGTATGAGTCTAACCTTTACAGACATGAGGACATTGGTGTCTAACCTTTACAGAACTGAGAATGTATGAGTCTAACCTTTACAGAAATGAGGATGTATGAGTCTAACCTCTACAGAACTGAGAATTTATGAGTCTAACCTTTACAGAACTGAGGATGTATGAGTCTAATCTTTACAGAACTGAGGATGTATGAGTCTAAACTTTACAGACTTGAGGACGTTTGAGTCTTACCTCTACAGAACTGAGGATGTATGTGTCTAACCTTTACAGAAATGAGGATGTATGAGTCTAACCTTTACAGACCTGAGGACATTTGTGTCTAACCTTTACAGAACTGATGATGTATGAGTCTAACCTTTACAGAAATGAGGACATTTGAGTCTAACCTTTACAGAACTGAGGATGTATGAGTCTAACCTTCACAGAACTGTGGATGTATGAGTCTAACCTTTACAGACCTGAGGACATTTGAGACTTACCTCTACAGAACTGAGAATGTATGAGTCTCACCTTTACAGAACTGAGGATGTATGAGTCTTACCTCTACAGAACTGAGGATGTATGTGTCTAACCTTTACAGAACTGAGGATGTTTGAGTCTAACCTTTACAGAACTGAGGATGTATGAGTCTAACCTTTACAGACATGAGGACATTGGTGTCTAACCTTAACAGAACTGAGAATGTATGAGTCTATCCTTTACAGACCTGAGGACATTTGAGTCTAACCTTTACAGAAATGAGGATGTATGAGTCTAACCTCTACAGAACTGAGAATTTATGAGTCTTACCTCTACAGAACTGAGGATGTATGAGTCTAAACTTTACAGAACTGAGGATGTGTGAGTCTAAACTTTACAGACTTGAGGACGTTTGAGTCTTACCTCTACAGAACTGAGGATGTATGTGTCTAACCTTTACAGAACTGAAGATGTATGAGTCTAACCTTTACAGACCTGAGGACATTTGTGTCTAACCTTTACAGAACTGATGATGTATGAGTCTAACCTTTACAGACCTGAGGATATTTGAGTCTAACCTTTACAGAACTGAGGATGTATGAGTCTAACCTTCACAGAACTGTGGATGTATGAGTCTAACCTTTACAGACCTGAGGACATTTGAGTCTAACCTCTACAGAAATGAGGATGTATGAGTCTTACCTCTACAGAACTGAGAATTTATGAGTCTAACCTTTACAGAACTGAGGATGTATGAGTCTAACCTTTACAGACCTGAGGATATTTGAGTCTAACCTTTACAGAACTGAGGATGTATGAGTCTAACCTTCACAGAACTGTGGATGTATGAGTCTAACCTTTACAGACCTGAGGACATTTGAGTCTAACCTCTACAGAAATGAGGATGTATGAGTCTTACCTCTACAGAACTGAGGATGTATGAGTCTAACCTTTACAGACCTGAGGACATTTGTGTCTAACCTTTACAGAATTGAGGATGTATGAGTCTAACCTTTACAGACCTTGGGAGTTTAATAGTCTAACCTTTACAGATCAGGGGACTTTTGATTCTTAACTTTATAGACATGGGAACTTTATGAGCCTAACCTTTACAGACCTGGGGACTTTTGATTCTTAACCTTACAGACCTGAGGATGTATGAGTCTAACCTTACAGACCTGGGGAGTTTATGAGCCTAAACTTTACAGACCTGGGGACTTTTGATTCTTACTTTTACAGACCTGGGAACTTTATGGGCCTAACCTTTACAGACCTGGGAACTTTATGGGCCTAACCTTTACAGACCTGGGAACTTTATGGGCCTAACCTTTACAGACCTGGGAACTTTATGAGCCTAACCTTTACAGACCTGGGAACTTTATGGGCCTAACCTTTACAGACCTGGGAACTTTATGAGCCTAACCTTTACAGACCTGGGACCTTGATGAGCCTAACCTTTACAGACCTGGGGACTTTTGATTCTTAACTTTACAGACCTGGGGACTTTTGATTCTTACTTTTACAGACCTGGGAACTTTATGGGCCTAACCTTTACAGACCTGGGGACTTGATGAGCCTAACCTTTACAGACCTGGGGACTTTTGATTCTTAACTTTACAGACCTGGAAACTTTATGAGCCTAACCTTTACAGACCTGGGGACATTTGAGTCTAACCTTTACAGAACTGAGGATGTATGAGTCTAACCTTTACAGACCTGGGGAGTTTATGAGCCTAACCTTTACAGACCTTTGGGACTTAACCTTACCTGTGGTGTGTGTTTCCTAAGCTTTTGTTCATTGCTTTGCGTTGCTTCCATGGCCTCCTGACAAACAGACAGTAAATGTTTCAGTGATTGTTATTCAAAATAAAATTTGTGTGCATAAATATTCAATGAAACAGGATCTTGGTATCAACAATTGTTTGATCTTCATTTGTTCTTAAAAAGTTTGATCTTTTCCCAGCTTTTCTCTTCTTTCCTCTTATATGCTAATTATGCTCAAACATATCATGGTTCAGTAACCATTGAACACACACCCTACCTCAAACATAGCATGGTCCAGTAACCATTGAAAATACACCCTACCTAAAACATAGCATGGTTCAGTAACCATTGAACACACATCCGACCTCAAACATATCATGGATTAAACACACACCCTACCTCAAACATAGCATGGTCCAATAACCATTGAACACACACCCTACCTCAAACATATCATGGTCCAGTAACCATTGAACATACAACCTACCTCAAACATATCATGGTCCAGTAACCATTGAACACACACATTACCTCAAACATATCTTGGTCCAGTAACCATTGAACACACACCTTACCTCAAACATATCATGGTCCAGTAACCATTGAACATACACCCTACCTCAAACATATCATGGTGCAGTAACCATTGAAAATACAACCTACATCAAACATATCATGGTCCAGTAACCATTGAACACACACCCTACCTCAAACATATCTTGGTCCAGTAACCATTGAAAATACAACCTACATCAAACATATCATGGTCCAATAACCATTGAACACACACCCTACCTCAAACATAGCATGGTCCAGTAACCATTAAAAACACACAACCCACCTCAAACATATCGTGGTTCAGTAACCATTAAACACACACCCTACCTCAAACATATTATGGTTAAGTAACCATTGAACACACACTCTACCTCAAACATATCATGGCCCAGTAACCATTGAACACACACCCTACCTCAACCATATTATGGTCAAGTAACCATTGAACACACACCCTACCTCAAACATATCATGGATTAAACACACACCCTACCTCAAACATAGCATGGTCCAGTAACCATTGAACACACACCCTACCTCAAACATATCATTGTCCAATAACCATTGAACACACAACCTACCTCAAACAAATTATGGTCCAGTAACCATTGAAAATACAACCTACATCAAACATATCATGGTCCAATAACCATTGAACACACACCCTACCTCAAACATATCATGGTCCAATAACCATTGAACACACAACCTACCTCAAACATATCATGGTCCAGTAACCATTGAACATACAACCTACCTCAACCATATTATGGTCAAGTAACCATTGAACACACATCCTACCTCAAACATATCATGGATTAAACACACACCCTACCTCAAACATAGCATGATCCAATAACCATTGAACACACACCCTACCTCAAACACATCATGGTCCAGTAACCATTGAACACACACCCTACCTCAAACATATCATGTAACCATTGAACACACACCCTACCTCAAACATATCATGGTCCAGTAACCATTGAACACACAACCTAGCATGGTTCAGTAACCATTGAACACACACCCTACCTCAGACATATCATGGTCTAACAACCATTGAACACACATCCTACCTCAAACATATCATGGTCCAGTAACCATTGAACACACAACCTACCTCAAACATAGCATGGTTCAGTAACCATTGAATACACACCCTACCTCAAACATATCATGGTCCAATAACCATTGAACACACACCCTACCTCAAACATATCATGGTCCAGTAACCATTGAACACACACCCTACCTCAAACATATCATGGTCCAGTAACCATTGAACACACACCCTACCTCAAACATATCTTGGTCCAGTAACCATTGAAAATACAACCTACCTCAAACATATCTTGGTCCAGTAACCATTGAACACACACCTTACCTCAAACATATCTTGGTCCAGGAACCATTGAACACACACCCTACCTCAAACATAGCATGATCCAATAACCATTGAACACACCAATAACCATTGAACACACAACCTACCTCAAACACATCATGGTCCAGTAACCATTGAACATACAACCTACCTCAAACATATCATGGTCCAGTAACCATTGAACACACACCCTACCTCAAACATATTATGGTCAAGTAACCATTGAACACACGCCCTACCTCAAACATATCATGGTCCAGTAACCATTGAACACACACCCTACCTCAAACATATTATGGATTAAACACACACCCTACCTCAAACATAGCATGGTCCAGTAACCATTGAACACACACCCTACCTCAAACATATCATGGTCCAATAACCATTGAACACACAACCTACCTCAAACATAGCATGGTCCAGTAACCATTGAACACAAACCCTACCTCAAACATATCATGGTCCAATAACCATTGAACACACAACCTACCTCAAACATAGCATGGTTCAGTAACCATTGAACACACACCCTACCTCAAACAAATCTTGGTCCAGTAACCATTAAAAATACAACCTACCTCAAACATAGCATGGTCCAATAACCATTAAAAACACACAACACCTCAAACATATCATGGTTCAGTAACCATTAAACACACACCCTACCTCAAAAATATTATGGTCAAGTAACCATTGAACACAAACCCTACCTCAAACATAGCATGGTCCAGTAACCATTGAACACATGCCCTACCTCAAACATATCATGGTCCAGTAACCATTGAACACACACCCTACCTCAAACATATTATGGATTAAACACACACCCTACCTCAAACATAGCATGGTCCAGTAACCATTGAACACACACCCTACCTCAAACATATCATGGTCCAATAACCATTGAACACACAACCTACTTCAAACATAGCATGGTTCAGTAACCATTGAACACACACCCTACCTCAAACATATCATGGTCCAATAACCATTGAACATACAACCTACCTCAAACATATCATGTTCCAGTAACCATTGAACACACACTCTACCTCAAACATATCTTGGTCCAGTAACCATTGAACACACACCCTACCTCAAACATATCTTGGTCCAGTAACCATTGAAAATACAACCTACCTCAAACATAGCATGGTTCAGTAACCATTGAACACAAACCTTACCTCAAACATATCTTGGTCAAGTAACCATTGAACATACAATCTACCTCAAACATAGCATGGTTCAGTAACCATTGAACACACACCTTACCTCAAACATATCTTGGTCCAGTAACCATTGAACATACACTCTACCTCAAACATAGCATGGTTCAGTAACCATTGAACACACACCTTACCTCAAACATATCTTGGTCCAGTAACCATTGAACACACACCTTACCTCAAACATATCATGGTCCAGTAACCATTGAACATACACCCTACCTCAAACATATCATGGTTCAGTAACCGTTGAAAATACAACCTACCTCAAACATATCATGGTCCAGTAACCATTGAACACACACCCTACCTCAAACATATCATGACCTAATAACCATTGAACACACACCCTACCTCAAACATATCTTGGTCCAGTAACCATTGAAAATACAACCTACATCAAACATAACATGATCCAATAACCATTGAACACACACTCTACCTCAAACAAAGTATGGTCCAGTAACCATTGAACACACACCCTACCTCAAACATATCATGGTCCAGTAACCATTGAAAATACAACCTACATCAAACATAACATGATCCAATAACCATTGAACACACACTCTACCTCAAACAAATTATGGTCCAGTAACCATTGAACACACACCCTACCTCAAACATATCATGGTCCAGTAACCATTGAACACACACCCTATCTCAAACATATCATGGTCCAGTAACCATTGAACATACAACCTACCTCAAACATATCATGGTCCAGTAACCAGGAAATATGGTCGTCCATGTCACAGAGTCGTGATGCAATAATATCCCGCGGACTAACAATGTAGAACAGGTTCTCTGATAGAAGGCACTCTGAAAAGTAAGACATTGATAAAGTAAGACATTGATAAAGTAAGACAAAGATGATGTAATACAATGATAAGGTAAGACAATGATAAGATAAGACAATGATAAAGTAAGATATTGATAAAGTAAGACAATGATAAGATAAGACAATGATAAAGTAAGGCACTGATAAAGTAAGATATTGATAAAGAAAGGCACTGATAAAGTAAGATATTGATAAAGTAAGACAATGATAAGGTGATACAATGATAAAGTAAGATATTGATAAAGTAAGACAATGATAAGGTGATACAATGATAAAGTAAGATATTGATAAAGTAAGACAATGATAAGGTGATACAATGATAAAGTAAGATATTGATAAAGTAAGACAATGATAAGGTGATACAATGATAAAGTAAGATATTGATAAAGTAAGACAATGATAAGGTGATACAATGATAAAGTAAGACATTGATAAAGTAAGACAATGATAAGGTGAGACAATGATAAAGAAAGGCACTGATAAAGTAAGATATTGATAAAGTAAGACAATGATAAGGTAATACAATGATAAAGTAAGATATTGATAAAGTAAGACAATGATAAGGTGAGACAATGATAAAGTAAGATATTGATAAAGTAAGACAATGATAAGGTAATACAATGATAAAGTAAGATATTGATAAAGTAAGACAATGATAAGGTGATACAATGATAAAGTAAGGCATTGATAAAACAAGACAATGATAAAGTGATCAGTGTCTCAATTCCCAACGAATGACGAGTAATGACAGAGTTATTTTTAGAGTTACTGATTTGCTGTGAAGTGAATAAAGATACTGACAGGTATTTGTTGAACAATTTCGTGCAAACTGTACAACAGATTTCACTTCAATATCCTTAGAGTATTGAAAAATATCAGAAACTGTTCATGTCTTACATTTTTGAAGGCCATAAGTCTGGAAAAGCAAGTTGACAGAAAGCATATAAGAACCTAAGCAAAGTTTTATTCACAATAAAATATCCATCAATGAGTAAATGAGTGAAAACATCATGTTTTTTAAAGATGGCCAGAGCAGCAGTATGTCTGTAGTTCTAGGTAATGTTTCAAACCAAATATGTTCAGAATCCATGTAATCACTCGGCCGGATCAATAGAATTTAAAACAGAATGTTCTAACAAGTCTAAATTTTCTATTAATTTGATCGCTCTCCTGTCTCTGTTAGAACTTCACAAATACAAAGTGATACTTTGGATCAAAATTAATGTAGTTACAGACATGACTTTAAATGAAGAGTAGAAGTAACAGCAACAACCTAAACTGTCCAATTGCCACCATTTAATTAGCCTTAATTAAGGTAATAACCCTTAACTTGGTGACATTGAATTCCACTGATGTCAAGAAATAGCACTATAAAGTATAATTTAACTTAATTTCCACTTCATCTGGCACCTTGGTCATCAGACTCAAGTGATTGAACCAATTTAAATAACAAATGTGATGTTTTGGAGGAAATTTTCTAATTTTCCCTTCAGAGTCCCATCTCTGGTTGAATCAAACCTACATATTTAACAAATGGTAACTGTTCTCCAATCATGTTTTATTTTAGATCAAAATGGTTGAAACCCACTAAGGCATTTACAAAAAGAGTTTTAAGCAAAACATTACCTAATTTCACATTTGTAGCCCCATCCCATGTAGGGCCCCTGTGTCTAGGTGTCAACCTTATTTATCTAAGAAATGAAGATCATACCCTAGATGTTTCTGATACAGTTTGGTTGAAATGAGCTAATTAACCAACATCTCCAGTGGCCAAAACAACTTCATTTATTAACAAAATGATTGCCCAGGTGATGATTCATGCTAAACCTGGTTGAAATGCATTGGGCATAAGGGGGGAGTAGTGCTTTAAATAAGTAAGATTTTAGTCCTTCTAAGGATCCATCAGTCCTCAGGGATTTAATCAATTCCATGTTTTTAACAAAAGATTCCTGAAATGATCGCTAAGATCCAATTTGGTTGAAATCCACTCAGGGATAAGAAGGTGTAGTGTTTTAAGAAATTTATGGATGGTGCCACTGACCAGCTGATGGCTAAAGGTCATTTTGATCAATTTGGTCAGATGACCTAATTATGATAAAATGACAGCCTGAATGAATTTAATTAGCTCTGGTAATATCATGGAGGCAGCATAATTTTCCCCCTAGAAAATTTGTTGTTTGAAATATTGATATGAGACATACCAAGGTGATAATCATTACACTTGTACTCCTGGAACCCACGAATGGATAACGCATCGTTGGAAACTTCCTCATAGTCATTCAAACTCGGCTTTACGATCTGTAGGTGAGGCCGCTGCGCAACAAGGCGAGATCCCTGAAAAATCCAGGCACATTAAATCTCACACAAAGGGAACTGATGAGAAGCATCAGTTTAACAGTTAAAAGTAAGAAAACATTGCAACACCAAGACACATTTAAAAGTCTGTTGCCTCACCAAGGAGGCACATTTAAAAGTCTGTTGCCTCAACAAGGCACATTAAAAAGTCTGTTGCCTCGACAAGACACATTTAAAAGTCTGTTGCCTCACCAAGGTACATTTAAAAGTCTGTTGCCTCAACAAGGAGGCACATGTAAAAGTCTGTTGCCTTACCAAGGCACATTTAAAAGTCTGTTGCCTCACCAAGGAGGCACATTTAAAAGTCTGTTGCCTCAACAAGGAGGCACATTTAAAAGTCTGTTGCCTCACCAAGGTACATTTAAAAGTCTGTTGCCTCACCAAGGTACATTTAAAAGTCTGTTGCCTCAACAAGGAGGCACATTTAAAAGTCTGTTGCCTCACCAAGGCACATTTAAAAGTATGTTGCCTCACCAAGGCACATTTAAAAGTCTGTTGCCTCACCAAAAAGCACACATTTAAAAGTCTGTTGCCTCAACAAGGAGGCACATTTAAAAGTCTGTTGCCTCAACAAGGCACATTTAAAAGGCTGTTGCCTCACCAAAAAGCACATTTAAAAGTCTGTTGCCTCAGCAAGGTACATTTAAAAGTCTGTTGCCTCACCAAAAAGCACATTTAAAAGTCTGTTGCCTCACCAAGGCACATTTAAAAGTCTGTTGCCTCACCAAGGTACATTTAAAAGTCTGTTGCCTCACCAAGGTACATTTAAAAGTCTGTTGCCTCAACAAGGAGGCACATTTAAAAGTCTGTTGCCTCAACAAGGCACATTTAAAAGTCTGTTGCCTCACCAAGGTACATTTAAAAGTCTGTTGCCTCACCAAGGTACATTTAAAAGTCTGTTGCCTCAACAAGGAGGCACATTTAAAAGTCTGTTGCCTCAACAAGGCATATTTAAAAGTCTGTTGCCTCACCAAGGAGGCACATTTAAAAGTCTGTTGCCTCAACAAGGAGGCACATTTAAAAGTCTGTTGCCTCACAGGCAATGAAAAGTCTGTTGCCTCACATTTAAAAGTCTGTTGCCTCAACAACGATGCACATTTAAAAGTCTGTTGCCTCACCAAGGCACATTTAAAAGTCTGTTGCCTCACCAAGGCACATTTAAAAGTCTGTTGCCTCACCAAGGCACATTTAAAAGTCTGTTGCCTCACCAAGGCACATTAAAAAGTCTGTTGCCTCACCAAGGCACATTTAAAAGTCTGTTGCCTCACCAAGGTACATTTAAAAGTCTGTTGCCTCAACAAGGAGGTACATTTAAAAGTCTGTTGCCTCAACAAGGAGGCACATTTAAAAGTCTGTTGCCTCACCAAGGTACATTTAAAAGTCTGTTGCCTCAACAAGGAGGTACATTTAAAAGTCTGTTGCCTCACCAAGGTACATTTAAAAGTCTTTTGTCTCACCAAGGTACATTTAAAAGTCTGTTGTCTCACCAAGGCACATTTAAAAGTCTGTTGCCTCACCAAGGAGGCACATTTGAAAGTCTGTTGCCTCAACAATGAACCACATTTAAAATCTGTTGCCTCACCAAGGCACATTTAAAAGTCTGTTGCCTCACCAAGGCACATTTAAAAGTCTGTTGCCTCACCAAAAAGCACATTTAAAAGTCTGTTGCCTCACATTTAAAAGTCACCACATTTAAAAGTCTGTTGCCTCACCAAGGTACATTTAAAAGTCTGTTGCCTCAACAAGGAGGCACATTTAAAAGTCTGTTGCCTCACCAAGGCACATTTAAAAGTCTGTTGCCTCACCAAGGCACATTTAAAAGTTTAAAAGTCTGTTGCCTCACCAAGGTACATTTAAAAGTCTGTTGCCTCACCAAGGCACATTTAAAAGTCTGTTGCCTCACCAAGGTACATTTAAAAGTCTGTTGCCTCACCAAGGCACATTTAAAAGTCTGTTGCCTCACCAAGGAGGCACATTTAAAAGTCTGTTGCCTCACCAAGGCACATTTAAAAGTCTGTTGCCTCACCAAGGCACATTTAAAAGTCTGTTGCCTCACCAAAAAGCACATTTAAAAGTCTGTTGCCTCACCAAGGCACATTTAAAAGTCTGTTGCCTCACCAAGGCACATTAAAAAGTCTGTTGCCTCACCAAGGCACATTTAAAAGTCTGTTGCCTCACCAAGGTACATTTAAAAGTCTGTTGCCTCAACAAGGAGGCACATTTAAAAGTCTGTTGCCTCAACAAGGCACATTTAAAAGTCTGTTGCCTCACTAAGGTACATTTAAAAGTCTGTTGCCTCAACAAGGAGGTACATTTAAAAGTCTGTTGCCTCACCAAGGTACATTTAAAAGTCTGTTGTCTCACCAAGGCGCATTTAAAAGTCTGTTGTCTCACCAAGGCACATTTAAAAGTCTGTTGCCTCACCAAGGAGGCACATTTGAAAGTCTGTTGCCTCAACAAGGAGGCACATTTAAAAGTCTGCTGCCTCACCAAGGCACATTTAAAAGTCTGTTGCCTCACCAAGGCACATTTAAAAGCCTGTTGTATCTGTTGCAACTTTGAACCCTGTGGCCTTGTAATTGGGAATTCATTAGAACAATCTTGAAGGCCCCAGCAAACTACTTGCAGGATATCATTTATCTGATAGGTGCCTAACATTGAGAAAAAGTTGGTTTTTTTTTTAAAAAGAAAGATTCTTACAATTCAGACAACTGTGAGTTTGAAAGAAGCTGAAGGTCAAATAGGGATGTTGGGTACATTTCTTTAAACCAATAATTTAAAAAGGCCTTAACATTTGCAGTAGGAATTGTTATTAAATCATTTAAACAAATCAGTATCTTTCAGCTGTAATGGCCATAGACCCCAAAAAATAACAATACATATTCAGGACAATTTCAAAATTATTTCAAACAAGTTTCAATCCCACTGATGGAATTTGAGAAGTTTGATTGTGCAATCATGCTACAAAATGGTTGCCATGGCCTCCATATTCAACTTCTGATGAGGCCGAAAAGTAACAACACTTTGTCCGTTTCTTTTCCTTTACATTTCCAATAATATTCAGCTTAATGGCACTAGTGGAACTTTAAATGAAGTTTGAGATTTAAATAAGTATTTCAAAATTAAGGCCACAGTAGATTATGTACCAACACTTGGTCAAGACCATATTATTACAGTAAATACATCTTTATCAATGAGACTTTACCTCCTTTTCCAGATCTTTCTCATAAGTGAGGAGTACCAACTCATCCTGGAGAGGTGCAATACCACACACATAGCTGTCCACCGTGAACATGGCCACTGTGACACAAAAACAGATCAATGACAATTTGGGGGAAAAGTGATGGCTAGGTCAAATAAAGATCTGTCAATGGGGGAGAAAAGTGATGGCTAGGTAAAGGAAAGATCTATCAATGGGGGAGAAAAGTGATAGCTAGGTCAAAGAAAGATCTGTCAATGGGGGAGAAAAGTGATGGCTAGGTCACGGAAAGATCTGTCAATGGGGGAGAAAAGTGATAGCTAGGTCAAGGAAAGATCTATCAATGGGGAGAAAAGTGATGACTAGGTCAAGGAAAGATCTGTCAATGGGGGAGAAAAGTGATGGCTAGGTCAAGGAAAGACCTGTCAATGGGGGAGAAAAGTGATGGCTAGGTCAAGGAAAGATCTATCAATGGGGGAGAAAAGTGATGGCTAGGTCAAGGAAAGATCTATCAATGGGGGAGAAAAGTGATGGCTAGGTCAAAGAAAGATCTGTCAATGGGGGAGAAAAGTGATGGCTAGGTCAAAGAAAGATCTATCAATGGGGGAGAAAAGTGATGGCTAGGTCAAGGAAAGATCTGTCAATGGGGGAGAAAAGTGATGGCTAGGTCAAGGAAAGATCTATCAATGGGGGAGAAAAGTGATGGCTAGGTCAAGGAAAGATCTGTCAATGGGGAGAAAAGTGATGGCTAGGTCAAGGAAAGATCTGTCAATGGGGGAGAAAAGTGATGGCTAGGTCAAGGAAAGATCTATCAATGGGGAGAAAAGTGATGGCTAGGTCAAGGAAAGATCTGTCAATGGGGGAGAAAAGTGATGGCTAGGTCAAGGAAAGATCTGTCAATGGGGAGAAAAGTGATGGCTAGGTCAAGGAAAGATCTGTCAATGGGGAGAACAGTGATGGCTAGGTCAAGGAAAGATCTGTCAATGGGGAGAAAAGTGATGGCTAGGTCAAGGAAAGATCTATCAACTTGGGGGAGAAAAATGATGGCTAGGTCAAGGAAAGATCTGTCAATGGGGAGAAAAGTGATAGCTAGGTCAAGGAAAGATCTGTCAATGGGGGAGAAAAGTGATGGCTAGGTCAAGGAAAGATCTGTCAATGGGGGAGAAAAGTGATGTAAGGTCAAGGAAAGATCTGTCAATGGGGGAGAAAAGTGATGGCTAGGTCAAGGAAAGATCTGTCAACTTGGAGGAAAAGTTTTTGTCAGGACTAACAGATACCTCAAAAGATGATAGATTTAAGTGTATGAAGTCTCTGTCAGGACTAACACAGACCTCAAAAGATGATGGGTTAGGTGTTGGAGCCTCGTCAGGACTAACAGAGACCTCAAAAGATGATGGATTGAAGTGTTGGAAGTTTCTGTCAGGACTAACAGAGACCTCAAAAGACGATGGTTTTAAGTGTTGGAAGTCTCTGTCAGGACTAACAGAGACCTGAAAAGATAATAGTTTTGGTGTTGGAAGTCTCTGTCAGGACTAACAGAGACCTCAAGAGATGATGGTTTAAGTGTAGGAAGTCTCTGTCAGGACTATTAAAGACCTCAGAAGATGATGGTTTTAAATGTTGGAAGTCTCTGTCAGGACTAACAGAGACCTCAAAAGATGATGGTTTTGGTGTTGGAAGTCTCCGTCAGGACAAACAGAGACTTCAAAAGATAAAAATGCTGGTTTAAAGTGTTGAAGGTTTCTGTTAGGACTAACAGAGACCTCAAAAGATGATGGATTGAGGTGTTGGAAGTTTCTGTCAGGACTAACAGAGACCTGAAAAGATGATGGTTTAAGTGTAGGAAGTCTCTGTCAGGACTAACAGACACCTCAAAAGATGATGGTTTAAGTGTAGGAAGTCTCTGTCAGGACTAACAGAGACCTCAAAAGATGGTGGTTTTAAGTGTTGGAAGCCTCTGTCAGGACATAAGAGACCTCAAGAGATGATGGTTTAAGTGCAGGAAGTCTCCGTCAGGAATAACAGAGACCTCAAAAGATGATGGTTAAAGTGTAGGAAGTCTCGATCAGGACTAACAAAGACCTCAAAAGATGGTGGTTTTAAATGTTTGAAGTCTCTGTCAGGACTAACAGTGACATCAAAAGATAATGGGTTTGGTGTTGGAAGTCTCTGTCTGGACTAACAGAGACCTCAAAGATGATGGTTTTAAGTGTTGGAAGTCTGTCAGGACTAACAGAGACCTCAAAAGACGATAGTTTTGGTGTTGGAAGTCTCTGTCAGGACTAACAGAGAACTTAGTGTACAAGTTTGATAATCAGGTATAAAACTTGATGGAAGTGAGATACATGACTCACAGTTTGAGAGCCTTCTTTAGGTCAAACTTACAGATTTCCACGTATCTGTTTGGTAGGTTTCGGACATCCTGTTCCACACGGTCTTTTACCATGCATACCTGGTCAATAGATATTAAACATATTTATATATAGATAAAGTCAGGTAACAAGGGTTAATTAAATATTTAACCTAATGAAAAAACAAACTCATATTTACTGAAAAAAGTGAATATGATATCAAACAATGACAAGTTTTTGAGATTTAACTTAGAAAATTTTTAAGTGATGTATATTTGGCAATCTGTTATCAGGCTTAAGACATCATGTTATGAAGCTATGATATGATCACAACTATTCTGATAAGAAAACATCGCAAAAATAAATTAAACATTTTCTAATTCAAGATATCAAAAATCTATAACACAGATGAGGAATGCAAACACTTTTTTCACTGACCTTGACTCTGTCTGCCCAGGCAATTAGGAAAGTACGACTGTCCTTCCAACAGATGCTACATCTATACAGGTCTGCTCGATGCCTGTTACATGTTAAACTGTCTAGTAAGCAAATTTTATCAGCAGACTAGTGTAATACTTAAATAAAAAAGTTCATAAGTAGTATTTGAAAAAAGAGTGAGAAACTGTCATTTCATTTTTACCAAGTTACAGACCATATCATCTTTGATCTGTAAACTTGAACATGCAATCTGTACTCCAAATATGTGCTAAACTGACCAATATGAACGTCTGTTGCCCAGAAACCGAGTTGACAGATCAAAAAAGAATACAATGAGGGAGAGACAAAATATAAACATAACAATCCATCTATGAGAAATCAATTTTCTGAGTTGAACAAAAAAATTAGGTTGATCAAAACCAAATGAGAACTTACCTGTATCTATTATCATACAGGTACATATACTGACAGCACCTTCTTCAACAATGTAGTTGATCACACAGTAAATGAACGGAAACTAAATAGTAACGTTATTTCATAACTGGGGTACAAATACACTTTATTGATGTAAAATGTGTCTTACTCATGGCCTTTAGGGATGAAAGTGATTCTGGAACGAGAGCTCATGTCGTAGACTTTAACACCCTGAAACAAATGGAACACTATAAGTAAGCATACACTGACACATTTTATTATCATTTTCAATTCTGTCTATTAGTATGTTAAATCTCATTTCAATGACCTTCAATATCTCCTCTATAAGACCTTCAATATCTAATCTCATTGACCTTCAATATCTCATCTCAATGACCTTCAATATCTAATCTCATTGACCTTCAATATCTCACCTCAATGACCTTCAATATCTAATCTCATTGACCTTCAACATCTCATCTCAATGACCTTCAATATCTAATCTCAATGACCTTCAACATCTCATCTCAATGATCTTCAACATCACATCTCAATGACCTTCAAACAGGGTCTTAATCAAATGAATTCAAACAAACTTCAAAATCTAACAAGTTAATAACACTCAAGGCTAAAGACATTTTCATGGAGTACAAAGTCAACTTGCATGACCTTGATTATGGGTGATGTAGGATATCTACCAAGTCATTGGCCCAGGCAATGAAGCTGCCTTTCCATTTGATTTCCCGTACCGGCCCCTCACCCTGGTGTAGTATCGTAGTCTTGTGTCTGTTGAGGAAACCTTTCTCATTCAGCACTAACTGTAATGGTGATGAAGTTTGATAAAAAATTATATCAAAAGATCATCAAAAATACACTAGAGATTTATCATGTCACAATGCATACACTGTAGATAAACAGTAGATAAAGTCACCTGATCATCCTGTCACAACCAATACACTGTAGATAAACAGTAGATAAAGTCACCTGATCATCCTGTCACAACCAATACACTGTAGATAAACAGTAGATAAAGTCACCTGATCATCCTGTCACAACCAATACACTGTAGATAAACAGTACATAATGTCACCTGATCATCCTCTGTCACAACCAATACACTGTAGATAAACAGTAGATAGTCACCTGATCATCCTCTGTCACAACCAATACACTGTAGATAAACAGTAGATAAAGTCACCTGATCATCCTGTCACAACCAATACACTGTCGATAAACAGTAGATAAAGTCACCTGATCATCCTATGTCACAACCAATACACTGTAGATAAACAGTAGATAGTCACCTGATCATCCTCTGTCACAACCAATACACTGTAGATAAACAGTAGATAAAGTCACCTGATCATCCTGTCACAACCAATACACTGTCGATAAACAGTACATAAAGTCACCTGATCATCCTCTGTCACAACCAATACACTAAAGATAAACAGTAGATAAGTTCACCTGATCATCCTGTCACTACCAATACACTGTAGATAAACAGTACATAAAGTCACCTGATCATCCTATGTCATAACCAACACACTGTAGATAAGCAGTACATAAAGTCACCTGATCATCCTCTGTCACAACCAATACACTGTCGATAAACAGTAGATAGTCACCTGATCATCTTGTCACAACAAATACACTGTAGATAAAGTCACCTGATCATCCTTTGTCACAACAAATACACTGTAGATAAAGTCACCTGATCATCCTGTCACAACCAATACACTGTAAATAAACAGTAGATAAAGTCACCTGATCATCCTGTCACAAACAATACACTGTAGATAAACAGTAGATGAAGTCACCTGATCATCCTGTCACAACCAATACACTGTCGATAAACAGTACATAAAGTCACCTGATCATCCTCTGTCACAACCAATACACTAAAGATAAACAGTAGATAAAGTCACCTGTTCATCCTGTCACAACCAATACACTGTCAATAAACAGAAGATAAAGTCACCTGATCGTCCTCTGTCACAACCAATACACTGTAGATAAATGGTAGATAAAGTCACCTTATCATCCTCTGTCACAACCAATACACTGTAGATAAACAGTACATAAAGTCACATTATCATCCTCTGTCACAAACAATACACTGTAAATAACAGTAGATAAAGTCACTTGATCATCCGGTCACAACCAATACACTGTAGATAAACAGTAGATAAGGTCACCTGATCATCCTGTCACTACCAATACACTGTAGATAAACAGTACATAAAGTCACCTGATCATCCTCTGTCACAACCAATACACTGTAGATAAACAGTAGATAAAGTCACCTGATCATCCTGTCACAACCAATACACTGTCGATAAACAGTACATAAAGTCACCTGATCATCCTCTGTCACAACCAATACACTAAAGATAAACAGTAGATAAGTTCACCTGATCATCCTGTCACTACCAATACACTATAGATAAACAGTACATAAAGTCACCTGATCATCCTATGTCATAACCAACACACTGTAGATAAGCAGTACATAAAGTCACCTGATCATCCTCTGTCACAACCAATACACTGTCGATAAACAGTAGATAGTCACCTGATCATCCTGTCACAACAAATACACTGTAGATAAAGTCACCTGATCATCCTTTGTCACAACAAATACACTGTAGATAAAGTCACCTGATCATCCTGTCACAACCAATACACTGTAAATAAACAGTAGATAAAGTCACCTGATCATCCTGTCACAAACAATACACTGTAGATAAACAGTAGATGAAGTCACCTGATCATCCTGTCACAACCAATACACTGTCGATAAACAGTACATAAAGTCACCTGATCATCCTCTGTCACAACCAATACACTAAAGATAAACAGTAGATAAAGTCACCTGTTCATCCTGTCACAACCAATACACTGTCAATAAACAGAAGATAAAGTCACCTGATCGTCCTCTGTCACAACCAATACACTGTAGATAAATGGTAGATAAAGTCACCTTATCATCCTCTGTCACAACCAATACACTGTAGATAAACAGTATATAAAGTCACCTGATCATCCTCTGTCACAACCAATACACTGTCGATAAACAGTAGATAGTCACCTGATCATCCTGTCACAACCAATACACTGTAGATAAAGTCACCTGATCATCCTCTGTCACAACAAATACACTGTAGATAAAGTCACCTGATCATCCTGTCACAAACAATACACTGTAGATAAACAGTAGATAAAGTCACCTGATCATCCTGTCACAAACAATACACTGTAGATAAAAAGTAGATAAGGTCACCTGATCATCCTGTCACAACCAATACACTGTAGATAAACAGTAAAAAAAGTCACCTGATCATCCTATGTCACAACCAATACACTGTCGATAAACAGTAGATAGTCACCTGATCATCCTCTGTCACAACCAATACACTGTAGATAAACAGTAGATAGTCACCTGATCATCCTCTGTCACAACCAATACACTGTAGATAAACAGTACATAAAGTCACCTGATCATCCTGTCACAACCAATACACTGTAGATAAACAGTACATAAAGTCACCTGATCATCCTATGTCACAACCAATACACTGTAGATAAACAATACATAAAGTCACCTGATCATCCTCTGTCACAACCAATACACTGTAGATAAACAGTACATAAAGTCACCTGATCATCCTGTCACTACCAATACACTGTAGATAAACAGTAGATCAAGTCACCTGACCATCCCCTGTCACAACCAATATACTGTAGATAAACAGTAGATAAATTCACCTGATCATCCTGTCACAAACAATACACTGTAGATAAACAGTAGATAAGGTCACCTGATCATCCTGTCACAACCAATACACTGTAGATAAACAGTAGATCAAGTCACCTGATCATCCCCTGTCACAACCAATATACTGTAGATAAACAGTAGATAAAGTCACCTGATCATCCTGTCACAACCAATACACTGTAGATAAACAGTAGATAAAGTCACCTGATCATCCTGTCACAACCAATACACTGTCGATAAACAGTACATAAAGTCACCTGATCATCCTCTGTCACAACCAATACACTAAAGATAAACAGTAGATAAGTTCACCTGATCATCCTGTCACTACCAATACACTGTAGATAAACAGTACATAAAGTCACCTGATCATCCTATGTCATAACCAACACACTGTAGATAAGCAGTACATAAAGTCACCTGATCATCCTCTGTCACAACCAATACACTGTCGATAAACAGTAGATAGTCACCTGATCATCCTGTCACAACAAATACACTGTAGATAAAGTCACCTGATCATCCTTTGTCACAACAAATACACTGTAGATAAAGTCACCTGATCATCCTCTGTCACAACAAATACACTGTAGATAAAGTCACCTGATCATCCTGTCACAAACAATACACTGTAGATAAAAAGTAGATAAGGTCACCTGATCATCCAGTCACAACCAATACACTGTAGATAAACAGTAGATAAAGTCACCTGATCATCCTATGTCACAACCAATACACTGTAGATAAACAGTAGATAGTCACCTGATCATCCTCTGTCACAACCAATACACTGTAGATAAACAGTAGATAGTCACCTGATCATCCTCTGTCACAACCAATACACTGTAGATAAACAGTACATAAAGTCACCTGATCATCCTGTCACAACCAATACACTGTCGATAAACAGTACATAAAGTCACCTGATCATCCTATGTCACAACCAATACACTGTAGATAAACAATACATAAAGTCACCTGATCATCCTCTGTCACAACCAATACACTGTAGATAAACAGTACATAAAGTCTCCTGATCATCCTGTCACAATCAATACACTGTAGATAAACAGTACATAAAGTCACCTGATCATCCTGTCACTACCAATACACTGTAGATAAACAGTAGATCAAGTCACCTGACCATCCCCTGTCACAACCAATATACTGTAGATAAACAGTAGATAAAGTCACCTGATCATCCTGTCACAACCAATACACTGTAGATAAACAGTACATAAAGTCACCTGATCATCCTGTCACTACCAATACACTGTAGATAAACAGTAGATCAAGTCACCTGACCATCCCCCTGTCACAACCAATATACTGTAGATAAACAGTAGATAAGGTCACCTGATCATCCTGTCACAACCAATACACTGTAGATAAACAGTAGATAAAGTCACCTGATCATCCTGTCACAACCAATACACTGTAGATAAACAGTACATAAAGTCACCTGATCATCCTGTCACTACCAATACACTGTAGATAAACAGTAGATAAAGTCACCTGATCATCCTGTCACAACCAATACACTGTAGATAAACAGTAGATCAAGTCACCTGATCATCCCCTGTCACAACCAATATACTGTAGATAAACAGTAGATAAAGTCACCTGATCATCCTGTCACAAACAATACACTGTAGATAAACAGTAGATAAGGTCACCTGATCATCCTGTCACTACCAATACACTGTAGATAAACAGTAGATAAAGTCACCTGATCATCCTGTCACAACCAATACACTGTAGATAAACAGTACATAAAGTCACCTGATCATCCTGTCACAACCAATACACTGTAGATAAACAGTACATAAAGTCACCTGATCATCCTGTCACTACCAATACACTGTAGATAAACAGTAGATAAAGTCACCTGATCATCCTGTCACTACCAATACACTGTAGATAAACAGTAGATAAAGTCACCTGATCATCCTGTCACAACCAATACACTGTAGATAAACAGTAGATAAAGTCACCTGATCATCCTGTCACAACCAATACACTGTAGATAAACAGTAGATAAGGTCACCTGATCATCCTGTCACTACCAATACACTGTAGATAAACAGTAGATAAAGTCACCTGATCATCCTGTCACAACCAATACACTGTAGATAAACAGTACATAAAGTCACCTGATCATCCCCTGTCACAACCAACATACTGTAGATAAACAGTAGATAAAGTCACCTGATCATCCTGTCACAAACAATACACTGTAGATAAACAGTAGATAAGGTCACCTGATCATCCTGTCACAACCAATACACTGTAGATAAACAGTAGATAAAGTCACCTGATCATCCTCTGTCACAACCAATATACTGTAGATAAACAGTACATAAAGTCACCTGATCATCCTGTCACAACCAATACACTGTAGATAAACAGTACATAAAGTCACCTGATCATCCTATGTCACAACCAATACACTGTAGATAAACAGTAGATAAAGTCACCTGATCATCCTTCGTCACAACACATACACTGAAGATAAACAGTAGATAAAGTCACCTGATCATCCTGTCACAACCAATACACTGTCGATAAACAGTAGATAAAGTCACCTGATCATCCTGTCACAAACAATACACTGCAGATAAACAGTACATAAAGGTCACCTGATCATCCTGTCACAACCAATACACTGTAGATAAACAGTAGATAAAGTCACCTGATCATCCTATCACAAACAATACTATATATAGAAGACAAAGTCACCTTATCATCCCCGGTCACAAATTGTCGTCCACTACCGTGTTTGTAGAAACTGGGATCCATGGCTACAGCTTTTACTGGACGATCAAAATTCAAGCTTTGATTGTTTTCTGTAGTGTACATCCCAGTTATCATCACCTGCATTGGAATATACAATCAATTAATCTCAATACATGATTATGAAATAACAGTTATGATTCATATGTATCGGGATGATTTTAGTTAAAATATCTATTTTCTATTTTTACAAAATGCAAAATATATGTAACTTGAGTGTCTTAACATTAGTTTGGGATGCTGAAAATAATTATGATTATTAAGCTCTCACTGTAACCCTAACTCCTTAAATGTCCAGAATGATCATAATGTATCTTGTTACGTATGATTGCTGTAATACTTACCCGACCATCATCAGAGCAGCTAGCAATGAAATCCCCATTATCATCCAAACTAATTTGATTGACAGTGGTGGAATGCTGAAATGTAATTCATCCATTATACCTCCAGCCTACAGTAACCATCAATATGGGTGAACAACTTTCACTGCCATTACATAAGTGACAGTGGTGGAGGGCTGAAATTTAATTCATCCATTATACCTCTAGCCTACAGTAACCATCAATATGGGTGAACAACTTTCACTGCCATTACATAAGTGAAAGTGGTGGAGGGCTAAAATATAATCCATCCATTATACCTCCAGCCTACAGTAACCATCAATATGAGTGAACGACATTCACTGCCATTGCATAAGTGACAGTGGTGGAGGGCTGAAATGTAATTCATCCATTATACCTCCAGCCTACAGTAACCATCAATATGGGTGGACAACATTCACTGCCATTACGTAAGTGGGTTTATGTAATAGTAATGTATAGTTATAAAGTCACTTACCGCGGCGGCCTCCTTACAGTTTATATTGAAGCCTAAGTAGTCCAGTATGTATATCATACCCCAGTGAGTTCCAACTGCCAGGAACTGAAATAAAGTGTTAATATTGATACAGTTTATATACAACAATAAAGTATGTGTCACTACCAAACACAACTCGGTATCAGGCCTTAAAAATCTGTGTAATGTGCGCAGGTACTTTTTGGGGCTGAAATAGTAAATCTTGCTTCTACTTGCATAATGTGCACACCCAAATACTCTATCAATTTATCTTGAAATGTTAAGCTCACATATCAGACCAATGAAACAAAGTAAAAAAACTTGGAAGTATTCTCCTCAAAATGTATTGACTTTTATTTACTTTCTATTTCATTGTTGGTACAATACAATTGAAGAACAAGAGGCTCAATGGGCCTACAGTGATCAACTGGAATAGGTAAACCACCTATATATCATGCCTCTAGGCCTTTTAGTTAATGAGAAGAAGTCGTTTAAATGTTTTCAAATTCACTACTTCTTGATCTACTGGGCAAGAGTCACATTTACTACCTCAGATATGACCTACATTTGATCTACTGGGCAAGACAGTCACATTTATTGCCTTAGATATGACCTACATTTGGTCTACTGGGAGAGGCAGTCACATTTACAGCCTTAGATATGACCTACATTTGATCTACTGGGCAAGAGTCACATTTACTACCTCAGATATGACCTACATGTGATCTACTGGGCAAGACTGGCACATTTACTGCCTTAGATATGAACACATTTGGTCTACTGGGAGAGGCAGTCACATTTACTGCCTTAGATATGACCTACATTTGATCTACTGGGCAAGAGTCACATTTACTACCTCAGATATGACCTACATGTGATCTACTGGGCAAGACTGGCACATTTACTGCCTTAGATATGACCTACATTTGGTCTACTGGGAGATGGGATGAAGATGTTTCGTCAATTGTTGAAGTCCTTACCTTTGAGTCGACAGCCATACAGCTAGCACAGTCCTTGCTGAGGATAGTATTGAGGTCATTACCAAGTCTCTCATACTTCAGTTTAGGTTCCACTTCCTGAAACATTTCAGATAAGATTTCAACCAAAATAAATATTTCATCTCACAGATAAGTGATATTTGTGACTCATTCCTGGACTGACATGATTTATCTACGTCAAATGCATTCTTAGAGAAGCCATTTTATCCATAAGCAACTGGACTCGTGAAAATATTGAAAATGTGCCCAAGACTCCCCTGAAAAATTCTGCAAAATTTGTATCATCAGAATATATCCTAGTAAGTAAATAAATCATTGTTATTTGTGTATGATTTTGTTTTGAAAGATGTTTGTACACAGAAATAACATGTCTGTAGTTAATTGCAGTATTTTAAGGAACCTAGGTCACAATTATGCACAAATATCATAATTCTAAAATGCTGCATCGTAAAAAACGTTTCGTTCCAAACACTCTTCTGATATCTTTCAAATCAAACAGAACTCAAGGTTTAGCACTGTACATCACATTGAGAAAAGTCTGAACAGAAAAGTCTAGACAACTAAGTCTTAAGATATTTTATCTTTCATTGTTTCAATTCACAAATGAAGAAATAGTCTATGTGTAAACCTACACTTACAGTATGAAAATAACATGCCTGCTTTATCAGACTGTGAATTATTTTTTCTGATAATCATCCAGCAACTGACACTAACCAGGGAATAATCTAGGATATAATATCCCCGTTTTACATGAATTATCGTTTTAATATTTCAATTTCCATATTTCAACAGAAATTACATTTTTGATCTGTTTTATTGCTTTTTAGTAGAATTAGATGAATCTTTTATATTTTGTGTTTCTAAAGTTGTTTGAATGATCATTCACAAATGTGCTGAAAAACTTAATCATTTTCAGCCCAGGAAGCATCCTCCTAAGGCCCTTTGGAACCCAGGCTATTTCCCCTGGTCACAAAAAGGATGCTTTTCCCTATATCCTTGATGGATCCCTTCTAACCCTACAGCAGCCATTTTGTCTTTGTTACATTAGAAAACTTTTACAAGTGTCTCTGATTTAATCACTCCCATAAACAACATTACCTCTTCTAAGGATTCCTCATCACTTCCCTCTGGCTCTTCGTCCTTTTAATGAAATAAATACTTTTGATATGAACAAACTCAAACAGTTTCAAAAAAAGATATACTATACACTGTAATATCAATAAAAGCGAAAATCAAGTTAAGGAATCAATCACAACAGCTTCGGAATAAGTTGATCAGGACCTGATGAAGCCCGGGCGAAACCGGTTGATGGTTCAAAATAAATCCATATCAACTTACTCTAAAGCTGTTGTGATTGATTCCCTAACTTGATTTTCTCTACTGAGCAATCAACATGCCTACTTCCTGGTATTCAGCGGAGGGGTAAACGAATACTCTATTCTACCTACGAGTCCTTACGGCATTGGCTCTATCACCAAATCCAACAAAAGGGTACACTGGATAAGGGCTACTGTTTATATTCTTATCCAACTGAGTGCTGGGAAGAATACAATAAACAGCTCATATGGATTCATATCATATGCGTCATTCATTTTTTAAGTTTTTATCAATATTCTGTATATCAAAACTGGATGTGCTTACAAGACTTATGAGACGTATCAAGTTTTAAAGTGTGATCGACTTTTTCTCAAAGAGGTATATATATCTTCAAATTCAAGTTCAATTCCATCAATAAGGAATGAGCAGACACTGAAAATTTTAGAAAACTTTTTCAGATAAAGGGCCCCAACTCATGAAAATATGAGTTAAAACTACATGCAAAATTGCATGTCCCCCACTCATTGAAAGCAATTTTACTAAAAATTATCTCTGTATAAAAATTGATTTCTGTCCTGTATCTGTTGAGAATGTGCATGGTGGCATAAAATATACCGGTATATGGTAGCATTGTGTGTTAAAACAAAATTTGATTTAGATGCTTTACAAGCATGTTCCGTCACTAATTTAGGACTAATTTTCAGGTTACACTGAATAAAGTCTATTGTCGTATGGTTTTGTTACTGATGTTGGTGATGTAGAAATCCCACATAAGGATTTGGCTTTGTCAGTTTGTTCGGAGTCAGATTCCATTTTCCATCCTCAGTAGCATCAAATCTAGAAGAAACACTGATGTTGTTCATCATTGTTCACACAATCAAGGGTTTTTCTTTTCTTAGAAATCAATTGATTACTCACAGTGTTGCATGCATTTAGTTTGAAGGCGCTAAAAATAGTCTCATAATGTTTGAACAGGCCATGGACTTGAAATGAAAATGACAGTTGAGCTCAGAGATATGATGAACATATATATATGATTTCTCAACGACTTCACTGATTCATCTACATGAAATATGTTGACATCGACAGGAACGAACACACGGTCAGAGCCGAAATGTACTGAATCAAGAAATGTTTATTTACAAAACACTACTTTAGTTTTAAGTCAAGATTGCCTCAAGGCGATATTTGGGAGGACATGAAATTTTATATGTGATGAACTTCTACATATAATTATTTCACTCATAGCCAGTCTCAACATCAGTACTCAAAGTAAGATAAAACGAAACCTCAACTTCTTCTTGGCTGGGTGTGGAGGTCGCCATTTTGATCCAGTGTTAGTGTCACATGACCTGGAAAAGGAGGCGTTAAATGAAATGTCATAACAAAGAAAACTATGTAATTTATAAGGCAAAGCGAAATACATCCAACAGCATATTCAGTGTGTTCAACATAAATTAATCTTAATGTCTATGGCATATGATAATATAAGGTTGAAACTATATAAATGTAGTGGACTATTTTTGACGCGGATGTTATACATGTGATTACTTGGCGTAATAAGTTGAGGTACCTTAAGGGTTAATTCCCCACTGTGTGTTAGCAGGTGCTCGTTGGTAAATAACAATTCCATAAGATTTCACCCATTTATCAAGAAGACCCTCCTTCTAATTTCTGTACAAATTATTATATGCCGTGTTTAAAAAAAGAATAAAAAATATGTATCTGAGTTATCTTTATACTGTTATTCCCCGGACATGTAATACGACACTCTAAACTCCTTTCCTTTTTCGGAGTAGAATTTATTTGCCGAACTATTTTATTCAGTGTAGGTCAACATAGACCGTGGAAGGTAGGCCCTACAAGCAGCTAATATTTATTTATGAAGACCGCGAGCATTCATTAACATAATTTATTATAAGAGGAATCCATGTGCTTGAATACATTGATAATATAATATTCCACGATCCGCTAATTTTGAAGACACATTGTATAAAATGATGTGATCAGCTGGACAACAACAACCAAGGAAAATCGGCATCGTGCAATTATCAGGTAAGTAAATATCTAGGTCATAAGTATGCTTATTTATTAATTTATTTTCTAATTAGTGATTTATACGACAAACTATTAACATAATTTATCAAATAAATGCGCAAGAATTATACCGTAAAAGAGCGATATTATTAACATTTTCTGTAGGACTATACAATAACGAGTGGCCACTGTATTCTTTGTCGTTTCATCAAATCGATACACAGCTTCCATTATTCAAGCGTCGACTGCTGAAGCGGCAGGGAAGATGGATGCTGCGCGCAGTTATCAGCATCCCTGCAGCAACGCGCGAATAGCTGCTCCGACAAACCCAAATAAACGTCTAGATGTGCACGTGTGGACGTATATAAATGATTGGGGCCGGAGAATATATTTATGATTTGGGCTGGAATATAAAATGTTGCCTATTATCATAATTTATAATTGCATAATGTGTAGATTATTGAAAAAATTGTTATAAATTATTAAGATAGGACATCAATATAATGGAGTAGAGCATAGCTATTAGATGCTAATACTACATCGTATAAAACAGTCAAGAGATAGATTTTTTGGACTTCGAAAAATAAAAATGTAATTGAAAAATAAAATTTACAAAAAAAAAAAAAAAAATAGAAAAAAAAAATCATTGCATGCTCAAACACTATTTTTGTGTGACAATGTTAGGCTTTTTATTTACATTTTTAATTGTAATATTAGATGAAGATTTAGGTTTCTTTATATTGAGTATTAAGGAACATGAAATTGAATATTTCTGTATATTTACTGTAATATATGTCTGTGATAGTAAAGGTATTGTTAAAACAAAACACACATTCCTAGGAACCATATGAAAAACTGAGTGCTTGTAAAACATAATTTTTAGAGCATTTTTATGTTCAGTTCATGCAGAATAAGTTAGTTCGAGCACCTGTAAGTGAGAGTACCTGTTTTTGGTAACCTGATGAAGTTACCCTAGTAATTTCATAATCATCAGTAATTATCAAGATGTTTATGTTTCAGAATGGGTACATTATGAAGTATGAATATTTGCACCCAGTAGACTTGAATGCTTCATTTGCTGTTGACAATGTTATCATGTTCTTGTCAATTTTATCATTTTCTGACAATTTTATCATTTTCTTGACAACATTGGCTGAATTACAGAGAGTAATGATACAAAAAACAAATTCAAAGTATTATGCTGTAAAATTACTGATTCCTCAGGGGAAAATATGAGGCTGAGTTTCAATTTTAGGGGCTAACACTTTTTATAACTGCACATCAAATTGTATAAAAATGTAACAAAACATTTTCTCAATTAGAAAAAATAAAATGACAGTGAAAACTGGGGAAAAAATAGTCTGCATAGTTGATATAAGTGGGAATAATATTAATTTGATGAGTTAATAGCAAACTGTAATAGTGTAATTAATACAAGTTGGAGTTATATTGATTTGATGAGTTAATAGCAAACTGTAATAGTGAGTGTAATTAATACAAGTTGGAGTTAACATTGATTTGGTGAGATAATAAAAAACTGTGTGAAATAGTCAGTTTAATTAATACAAGTTGGAGTAACATTGATTTGGTGAGTTAATAGCAAACTGTAATAGTCAATGTAATTAATACAAGTTGGAGTTATATTGAAAATAGTCAAACTGGTGTAATTAATACAAGTTGGAGTTAACATTGATTTGGTGAGTTAATAGCAAACTGTAATAGTCAATGTAATTAATACAAGTTGGAGTTATATTGATTTGGTGAGTTAATAAAAAACTGTGTGAAATAGTCAGTGTAATTAATACAAGTTGGAGTTACATTGATTTGGTGAGATAATAACAAACTGAGTGAAATAGTCGGTGTAATTAATACAAGTTGGAGTTACATTGATTTAGTGAGTTAATAACAAACTGTGTGAAATAGTCAGTTTAATTAATTCAAGTTGGAGTAACATTGATTTGGTGAGTTAATAACAAACTGTAATAGTCGGTTTAATTAATACAAGTTGGAGTTAACATTGATTTGGTGAGTTAATAACAAACTGTGTGAAATAGTCAGTTTAATTAATTCAAGTTGGAGTAACATTGATTTGGTGAGTTAATAACAAACTGTGTGAAATAGTCGGTGTAATTAATACAAGTTGGAGTTACATTGATTTGGTGAGTTAATAACAAACTATAATAGTCAGTGTAATTAATACAAGTTGGAGTTAACATTGATTTGGTGAGTTAATAACAAACTGTGTGAAATAGTCGGTGTAATTAATACAAGTTGGAGTTAACATTGATTTGGTGAGTTAATAACAAACTGTGTGAAATAGTCGGTGTAATTAATACAAGTTGGAGTTACATTGATTTGGTGAGTTAATAACAAACTGTAATAGTCAGTGTAATTAATACAAGTTGGAGTTAACATTGATTTGGTGAGTTAATAACAAACTGTAATAGTCGGTGTAATTAATACAAGTTGGAGTTACATTGATTTGATGAGGTTTTAACAAACTGTGTGAAATAGTCAGTTTGATTAATACAAGTTGGAATTACATTGATTTGGTGAGTTAATAACAAACTGTAAAAGTTCGTGAAATTAATACAAGTTGGAGTTAACATTGATTTGGTGAGTTAATAACAAACTGTGTGAAATAGTCGGTGTAATTAATACAAGTTGGAGTTACATTGATTTGGTGAGTTAATAACAAACTGCAATAGTCAGTGTAATTAATACAAATTGAGCAGTGGATAAGATTGATGATAAAGAGAAAAATTAAGAAAAGAAAAGAAAATATCCTTCTATATAGAACCAGTAGGTTGAAGATTTTGTGATGGTGGGCACTACTGTGGAATTTCTATCTGAAGTCTTCTATTTATAGACTTTTGGTGATTTGGGTTTTCTGGACATGGTAATGCATGCCATATATCCAGTCCAAGCCTGTGGTGTGCTGGGACACAGCAGTCCCTTGTAAATTATGTTTGTGTTGGTTTGATCAATAAACATTCTACTATTGTCTGGACCAGCAGTCAGTGGTGCCATCATAAAGCTCTTCTCCTGCAACAAATGGAAGTGCTGGGCACAAAATCAATACCTTATCCATTACAGAGAGTTGTCGCTGTAGTAACGATGAGGTTCAGAGAGTGGGCCTGCATCTGTCAGTGTTTATAAGCTTCAGAAAATAGTCTTCTTGTGCTGGAATCTCAAATGAATTTTTAAGGGGCACCATAGGGGGACTCTTCTTCATAAACAGATTCCAAACATGCACAATATATGACAATATATGTAATTTGCTGATAATTTATGTTCTTGGATTATGATAATTAGTAATTAATACCGTAATATCAGAAGTATTATAGTAAGTTTGTAATTAAAAAAAATGGTGAATGGACACTCAATATGATGATAATCTTAGAGGCCATCTGACGGGTGATTTTGTGTTTTCTGTCTTGGAAAAATAATTCTACAATCTGCACAGTTGGAATTGATCGATAGAGAAAGAACAGATTTATGTTAAACATTGGACTACATGTAAATAACTTTCTAAGGATTGTGTTAAAATTTTCATAACAATGAACATTTAAATATGGGACATTTATATGTAAATGTTAACAGTATGTAAGGAACTGGGGAAGCACATTGTTTTGTTTAATACATATAAAAAGAAAATGAGTTCATAGGATGCTTTTATTTTTTTGATAAAAATGATTAATGAAGTTCATATTAGAGCATTTTAATATGAAACAGTGTTGATTTATTGTGTACAGTATAACATGTACAGTATAAAATGTGTACAGTATAACATGTGTACAGTATAACATGTATACAGTATAACATGTACATTATAACGTGTACAGTATAACATGTATACAGTAGAACATGTACAGTATACCATGTGTACAGTATAACATGTATACAGTATAACATGTACAGTATAACATGTGTACAATATAACATGTACAGTATAACATGTACAGTATAACATGTACATTATAACATATGTACAGTATAACATGTGTACAGTATAACATGTATAGTATAACATGTGTACGGTATAACATGTATAGTATAACATATGTACAGTATAACATGTATAGTATAACATGTGTACAGTATAACATGTATAGTATAACATGTGTACAGTATAACATGTACAGTATAACATGTGTACTGTATAACATGTGAACGGTATAACATGTATAGTATAACATGTGTACACTATAAAATGTATAGTATAGCATGTGTACATTACAACATGTATAGTATAACATGTGTACAGTATAACATGTATACAGTACAA